AAAATCTATATTTCATTTTTCCAAAAGTTAACATAAATCTGTGAATCTTCCTTAGAAAGCTGATTTCACATTTCTTGTTTTATGAAGAAATTTTCCAAGTTTGCGTTGGCGAGAATGTTTTCTTAATTTGAGAAATAAACGAAAAATATATAAAAGTTTGCGGTTATTTTTAACAGTAAATAAAGATTTATATCCTTAAAAAAAAAAAAGGAAAGAGAGAAACTTTTGTAATTGTGTTTGTATAAAAGGATTTATATATATACTTTTTGAAAGTGCTTTAGAAGTAAATAGAAAATCATCAACTTTAATCGAAAATTCACAAAGTTAAGTTTCCACCCTGACCTTTCGTGTCGTCATTTCATTTACCGAATGTTGTGCAATGTAACTTTGTAGCTGACTTCCTGTGTTATATATACACACTATCGAGCCTGAAACAAGGTTTGTCAACAAATGTCAACGATCGGCGGAAAGTTAAATTCAGGGTGTGAGAGAGAAAGAGAGAGAGAGGGAGTAAAGCCAACGAGAAGGAATGAATTTCGATGCAACGACCACAACCATCGAGTTAGTAACCTCGGCTTTGGGTGCTAAACGGTTAAAGGTTATGCAAGATCAATATCGGCTTTCGAAACATTTCTACTGCATAATACAAGCTAGTGCAGCATCCGTACCTTGTGTCCGTCTTCTTCTTTTTCTTTCTTTGCACACATCCGTGTCTCCTGCGCAAAATAACAATGTACTTTTCTTCCGTAACATCTAGCAGTATTTATTTCTTCAACTTAATTCAAAATTTAGAAATAAAAATTCGGCTAAAAGAAAATTCTTATCTATACTCACTAAATTTCAAATTGATAAAAATTTAAAGAGTAAGAAAATTCTAACAAATTAATTTGAAAAATTATTCATGCATAAAGAAGTATAACCATAATACATAGTTGAATCTGTGTTTTATTTCTAATACTGTCAACCAATAAAATTTTAATTTTGAATCACATCAAAAGGAAATGACAAAATTACACAAGGTATAAATAATACTGCAATAATTTAGCAATCAGAAATAATATAGAAATAAATGATGTTTGTTATACAAGTTGAAAATGTTTACTTGACCGCACTAATAGCAGTTTCATGCGTTCAGTGAAGATGCATTAAACGCCTCATTCACTAAAAGCCTATACAATAGTATTGCTTTTACGATTATCTCCCGTTTTTCAGTTGGTGCATTAACGACTACCAGAGCAATAGTGGATTGCTTTCTATACCTCCCAATCCTCCCTCTTTATATATATATATACATATATACTCTTCTTCTTTTTCTCCTCTTCTCTTTTTCGATTTGAAATCTAGGATGACGATCGATTAACGCTTGATGGAACACAAAAATGGGAAAAACTCTTTACAACATACGCGACTTTTTTTCTATAACTAGAGGTGAAGAAAGATTTATAAAGATATATATAAAAAACGATGATTGAATTATGATAAATAGCCTGTCAAAGTAGCCAGAAAATTATTGCAATTAATCAAATGTCAATTTTGGGAATTGTTTAGAAAGGTGTTTCGAAATATTGGATGTTCAATCAACAGCGGCCCATTAATTCCCAGTGAATACATCGATGTTCGCTTCTCATTATCTGACAACAGGATTCAAAATTGCTCATACAGAATAGATATCTGTGTATGTGTGTGTGTAATTATCATATGTGTGAACATGAAAAATTATTGATATGTTTTTACATAATTTTCAGGTATTTTTTTGGGGACGCATTTCAAAATTTCGATGTTATTTTTTTTTTAAGAATTGTATATTTGTAAAATATGCATGTGAATAATGGTATAATTTACGTATGGAAGTTATACACATGTATAACTTTTGGTTGTGTCTAACGGAGAAATTGGCGCGATTCCAAGCGAGCAAACACAAAAACGTCGGACACGATAAAACGATCCGTCCATTCTAGAAATAGGCACCTGGAATTTCAGTCTGGGAGGGCCGGTCGTCTCATCAGTCCCCTGGGACGTCGCGTCGTTCAGGACCAATAGGTTCTTCTCTCTCACTCTCTTTTTTTTTTTTGACCTCAGGTAGTCTTATATGTATACAGAGTTTAAGAAAACTTCTAAGGCCTTAGAAAAATATTTTTGCAATTTCAAGGAAATCGTTTGAATATATTGATAGGTTGAGAAAAAGTCAATTCTTTTTTTTTTTTTTTTTTATCAAAAAGCAAAAATAATTTTTCTATAACACGCAATAAGTTTTTTTTTTTTCTTTGCGCATCGTTCATCGACCTCGACAATAATAATATATAACGTCTTTGCTTTAACTGTAATCGATTTCTATAGACGTGCGTATTTACGGAATTGCTTCCTTGTCTTGATGTCACGCTTCCGATATACGGGTTCAGTCAATAGCAGAGTAGGTTATACTATACGCTCCTTTTCTTTTTAAGTTGGAAACTTGATCGCAAAAGTAGAGAGAAAAAAAAAAAAAAGTTGACTATTAAATATATATCCTATCAGAAAAACAAGAATTATAAAGTTTTTCTTATAGCATATCCGCATATATGTGTGTCAATTGATATAATATTTTTAATTAAATACATATTTCAATTGAATATTTCATTTGAAAAAAGAGATCTATAAAATAAATTCGTTGTTTAACTGGAAAAAAAATGTATTTAATTCCAAAATAATCGGTTACTGGACTTTAAATAAATATTTACTTGAATCAAATAATTTTTAAAACTAAATAATTGAATTAAATGAATTGTAATAATTTCTGTATTTGAAACAAATATCATTCAATTGATTCAAATAAAACTTATTTTCAAAGTGAATATTTATTTGTTAATAGTCGGTTATTTGAATCAAATAGATTTTTTTCATTGTATTTATTGTAGAATAAATATTGGAATAATTTTTTTTCGATGTATACAATTTTCTATGTTTTAAAACATTCAGTTTCTGTCAATATTTATTCGATCATTGTGTTTTTAAATCGAATTTCTAATATTAATCTTTATCATATAAAAAAAAGGAAATTAAAGATTTTATACAGAATTTTTTTTTTGTACCAATTAACAAGTACAAAACTTGCAATTAATATAGAAGAATAAAATGTTGAAAAATAATTGAAATAAAAAAAAACGACAAAAAAAAGAAAAATTGTGGCAAATTGGAGAAATTGTTAGAAGATGAAATCTGTGCTTTTACTCCAATATTGAGTATAACGAAGCTAATGACAATCAACGGGAATCCAGTATCATCTTGTTGTCTTAGGAGTTGACTCGTGCACACAATAATTGACATGAGCAATTACGACGCTTTCTCTAAATGAGTATCGCGTGACACATTCAACCACGAAATCGCGTGCTCTCTATTTTACTTTTCAATATATATATATATATATATATATATATATATATATATATATACAAATATGTACATAACACGGTGCGAGTGAAGACGACGTACCTCTAAACAAATTATCATATTTGCAAAGTCACATTTACGTTATACTGAAATGAATAGTTTTTGTCACGCAATCTTTCTATGTATCAATGTTTTTTTTATGACATGTGTCGAGGGTAAATATGACAGATGAAAAATTTTCTATACATTATACATTCATGGAATAATTGTTTTCAATTTCGCTAATATGGTAAATATTATACAAAATTGAGATATGAAATCGCAATTTTTTTTTTACATTCTCATCATATAATGAGTTCACAAAGTTTATGATTAACGATTGAGAAAAAAAAATACAAATAATTATTATTTTTAATTTAAACTTTTTTTTTTGCAACGTTTCTTAATCAATAATTTTTTGGAAAAAAAAATTTGTAGACAAAATATTGGTTATTTTTTGAGTGAAAAAAATATTTTTTTTTTAATCATTGATGTTGTGAACTTCGTTCTTTATGTTAAGAAAAATATTTTTCAATACCAAAATAAAGAAGTGATTTTTATTTTTCTCATTGATATTTTAATACCCTATAAAGGTATATAAAAACGATATGCAGTCTTAATATTCTTTTAATTTTATTTGCCAGCGAAATGCTCCGATTTCCGGACAATTTCATCTCTGATTCTATGTCTTCATATACCTGATATATAAATTTATATATACAGAATGAGAAAAAAGAGAATAGAACGTGATTCTCGTTCCCCATCTTTGAAATCGCACCCATTCAAATAACCCCATTGTCTGTTATAGAACCTGTATGTTTTCCCTTCTTGTCTAGATGACGTAGATATATATATATATATAAAAATTAACGTCGTTGAAAGGTCAGGCAATAGTCGAATGGAGTTAAATCCCCGAATTAGGATCTATAACGAAACCTTAGGGGCGCCTATGTACCGAAAAAAAAAAAAAAATTTTTTTATATAAAAGCAGAGTGGCAGGTTTACACACACGTATTTCTTATATATATATATGTGTGTGTATGCACTTTGTACGTGAATCTTAAGGCTGCCGAGAACCATCGCGTGCTCTTTGTGCTTTGAATCTCCACCTATGGAAGACCCAAGGGTCTCGAGTAGATGAAAAAAAATAGAGGGAGAGGACAAAAGGCCTCGTGGACCGTCGGAGAATGTGAATCATGAAAGATCGGAGAAAACTTTTGTTCACCAAAATATTAAGTCGCTTCTTAATACACAAAATAGTCATAACTCTCCACTATAAATATAATATCGTTGGGAAAAATTGTATACTGATATATTGACATTTTGATTTATGGCCATTTATTTTGACTTCATTTTGACTCTTTAGCGGACAATATTTTCTGTCATATCATGGTTTTTAATCTTTTTCCTATTTTTCCCCACTCCAAAAAAAAAAGTTAGAATTTCTTTTCTTCAAATTCCTACTGACATTTAAAGATTATTTTTTTTTTTTTTTTTTAAAAATGACAAAATAAAAAAATTTGATGACTATTTCACATTTATTTATTTTATCTGTATTTGCACTTTGCTTTGATAGCTTTCTTTTTTAATTTCAGACTCTAACGTTTCTATGAATAAATCTGATGGAGTCTCATTCCCGAAAGCCACCGCTAGGTGAGTTTAATTAAACTTTAATTACTTATAACTAATTTTATATCATCATTATATAAACGAAATATATATATATATATATATATATATATAACTCTTGAAATTGTGATATAAACAATTTATTAATTATTATTGCAATAATATTTATTATTTAGACGACAGTAAAGTTCACAACGTTTATCATCAACGATTTAGAAAAATAAAAATTCTATACAAATTATTATAATATTTTGTCTGAAAATTTTTTTTCTTGATCAATTAAAAGAAAAATTTTACTATTTTCTGTATGAAAAATATTTTTCATTTTTAATCGTTGATCATAAACTTCACTGATGTATTTTCTATTTTTTTTTTTTTTTTGTTTCTATTTATTGAATTATTAAAATGAACCATTTTTTTTCTTCTATTCAAATAAAATGAAAAAACTTTATTAATGTAAAACTTTATAAAATTTAATTTTACTTTTAAATTTAATTTGAAAATATAAAGTTTTAATTGAATTAAATTGTATATAAAAGTTTTTTAATCAAATGAAATGATTTTCTTTTAATTGAACAGTTATATGTATATGATTGCAATATATATAATATTGCGCTATGGATGATTTCATTCTGTGGGAAAGATTCTTGTGGTTTCGATTAGATTTGCGCTTTTTTATTTCCAAGTTAGAGTCACAAAGTGTTAAGAAAGTTTTATGTTAAGGTGAATATAAATTTTTTTCTCTTTTTTTTGGGGGGTAATAAATAGCGAGAGAGAGAGAGAGAGAGGGTCCTGTCGACACTCGAAACAGAAACTCCAAAAGGAAGGAGTTTCGGGTTGGATACTTGGGTATACTATTACTAGTGCACTATCAAGATAGCAAACCAAAGTTTGCGGAGGGAATGTTGATTACTGCATTCTTGGACGAGCAATCTCCATAGAACCTATGTTCCCTCTCTCTCTTTCTCTCTATTTCCCTCTCCCCACCTTTCTCTCTTTCTGTCGGGGTGTTAAACGAGAAAACGATCCTGGTTTCTGAACATCCTTTTCCTACACAATATCGTCTTTTTACCGGGAGCATAATTAAATCTTTAATTACGCGCACACTTTTTTTTTTATTCATATTATAAATCAAATATTTAAAATCCCTTATCGATGTCATATAAATTTTTTTCAAAGGGGACATATTTTTTCTCTCGATATTCCATTTCTAAGGTAGAGAGAATGTGATTATAAATTCAATAGATTCTTAGAATTTTATACAATAAATATTTGAAAAATAATTTATAATTTTTTTTTCTCCATTGCACGAGGTATATATCTAATTAAATTAAAGTCGCTGTATAATTAAAAATTATTATTTTTTGAAAACGCAAATAATCAACAAAGTAGAAAGTTAATTAAATTAGCAATGTGTGTATAAAAGCATTGTTTTTGGGTAATTAATTATTATATTTTTTTTGTCGTTAAAGCTCTTTGTACGTAATAAATGTGAATTTTCTGCTTTAAAATCTATATAGAAAATTATTAAGAGAATGACTACTTGAATAAGATCAGTGACCTGTAATAAAGTATCATTTTGGTCATAGTATCATATAAAGGGTTTCGAGGATAGAGATAAGAGAACCGCGAGAGTATTAGTATAGTTAAGAAACGAATTTCTTAATGTCATTCTAGAACATTGAAAGATAACTTGAAATGAAAAAAAAAAAAAAAAAAAAAATTGCTCATTACTGCGTTGAACATTAAAATGCGCAATTCTCGCGAGAGTCAGGGGAAAAATAAATTTTTAAAAGGAAATTGAATTCATATTCCCGTGTATAACGATAAAAACAAACTGTAATATCCAGCATAGGAGAATTCCAACTCAAAAAAAGAGAATAAATAAAATAAAAAACGTAAACTTGGAAGGAAAAATTTGATTAATTTTTATTAAAATGTCTCGCATTTTTTTCTCTCAAATTAATAATAAAAATTAATGAACTTTTAATTTAAAAAAATATATATTAAAATAAAAATAATAATAATAAAAGTAATAAAAATAACAAAAAATAAAATAATAAAAAAATTATTTATAATTAGAAGAAAAATTAGGACAAACGTCAACTGCGCAATATAAGGAAAACATTTTTAATATTGAAAGTCGTCCTTGATTGAGAGAGAAAGAAAGATGAGAATAAGAGCATATTTAAAATGTTGAATGAGTAATTTTGGTAAAAGCTTTTTAAAAGATAAGAAGATTGAGAATAAGAAAGAAATGTATTGCGGGTTTTCAGTAATCTCCAGAGAGATTCGATAGATGTTATATATTAATATTTAATGTTTTCCTAAAAATCATTTATTATATTTTATGTAGAATTTTATATCTCACATATGTTTCGAATTTTATTCAGTGGCGAAAATGTTTGAAATTTTAAACACCTAACATTTTTATCCACTTTTCGATATATATATTTAAAAATTTATTAATTTTCTTTTTTGCTATTAAAATTTTTTAAAAGATGAAAAATCGATTTTTAGGAAAAAACACAATGTATATAACGAAGTAGTGAGAATTATGACTCGAGTGTCAACTACTGCTTTTAACAACATGTTGTGTAATTGCAATAAGTCATGCATGCTACAGATTCTTCCGATAAAAGCCCTGTAATAACTACATTTACAGAGATCAATGTCATGATTTGATTTTGTCATCAAGATACATTTTTTCCTCTTTTTTTTTTTTATCTTGTTCGCGTATTATATTTATCTTGTAACTTCACGCATATATATATATATATATACATATATATATATATATATATATATATATATATATATATATATATATATATATATATATATATATATATATATATATATATATATATATATTATATATACTTGGATGAAGAATTTATTTTTGGTAGAATAATTTACAAATTAATTAAATCCCAAAGCATAAAGCATAAAGTGGTATAAATTTCGCGTATATAATAAAATTTTCGTCATTTTTTTTTTCGTAATATTTTAAATATGTTTATTTAGAGTTTTTCATGCTGAAGACAATTTTTACCACTCAGCAGTATGAAATTTGATGTCTGAATAAGCGAAAAAAAAATATATATATATTTCCAACGGAAGTTTGTAAATTTAAAAAAAAAAAATTTCATTGAGTTCAGCGTATTTTTTTTAAATATGTTTGATTGAAATTTCATATGCAAGCGATTTTTTAATGTATTTCACTTTGATGTTGTCCTTGGAAGGACGTCCTTATGTTAAAAGTGTTGTATATATTGAGAGAGAAGAGTAACTTTTTTTTTTTTTTTTTTGAACTTTGTTGTGTATTCCTTCTGCATGCACTACTTTCAGAAGTAATACCCTAAATCCTCAATGTTCAAGAAGGGCCAATTTAAGCACATAGTAGATCCTTCAACTCTTTATATATCCACTTTGAAAAAGATCAAAACATTCCAAGTCCTGTTAGGCGATTCGACAAACATTCTCAATATAAGAGGGATTGTGTAAAACTAGCAGAAACTTTGCTAAAATCTAATAATTTCATATTTTTTAAAGTAAAAAAAGGTATTTTGCAATTTTTTTTTTTTTTTTTTAATATTGTAAACAATTTTTGTCGAAGAACGTAAAAAAAAAACATTTCTCTTTTGTGTGACACACGATGCTAGAAATGAAAAAAAATTAAAATCAGTTTTGAAATTAAAAATTGAAATAGAATATCTTGGAAATAAATCAGTTTTCGTTTTTTCCATTTCCGTTGAAATTATGATTGAAATTGAAAATCGACGCTTTGAAATTGTGTTATAATCGTGAAACGCTTGATTCTATTGTTCGTGCGGGAGAAAAATGCGTATATTTTTGTTTAAAAAAAAAAAAAAAGAAAAAAGTTGAGAACAAATAATAATTTAATTCTAATTGCCAGTTGGATTTTGATTGTAAATTTAATACTTTAATCAATACTATAAAAAAAAGTAATATTTTTCTGTCAATATAGCATAAAAATTATTGATTTAGAAAAGAAAATGATATAGAATTTTTATTGAGGTATTTTCTCTTTTTTTTTTTTAATACAAATAATGGCATATTTTTTTGTCAAATAAGGGATAAAAAAAATGTATTTGATTCGATTATTTGACTGTTTAAATAAACAATTTGCATTAAATAATTATTAACTTTTATTTAAAATACAGAAATTATAAACAGTTTATTTAATTCTATTATTTGTTTTATTTGATAATAGTTAAGTAATATTTGGATTAAATAAATTTTTTTCCCTATATGTTTTATGAAAAAAAAAAAAAAAAGATAAATTCTGCTAAATAAAAATTCATTGAACTGGAGAAAATAATAAAAATTCACTGAAATAAAAATTGTATTATATAAAAATTCAATTTTATGATTATTTATAAAATTAAAATATATTCTCACGTCTTAGTTAAAACAATAAAAATTAAAATTTTGAAATATTATTTTCAAACAAAAATTACTGTTATTTTAATTAAAATTTTCTTATTACATTGCACAATATGTTTATATATGGCAATTGTATTGTGTTTAAAATATTGCAAAATGTAATTTCACATATATATATATATATAAAATGTAAGAGTTGAAACACTTATGCCGTGAAGATAATAGGCAAACATTGTAGATTGAGTGGAATGGGTTAGAAATCAATCGAATGTAGTAAAAATATCGTACAATATTGCAGTCTTGAATGTAGCGTCTTGCTGAAAGCACTTTGCGAATGCCCATCGACCTTTCAGCACATATAGATGCTGCGATGCTCTTCTCACAGGATCACCTTTATACTACCATGTATATATGTGTGTGTGTATATATATATATGTACACTAACCAATACCTATAAATGAGTTTATATATGGGATGGTTCATGGCTGTAGCTATATACACATACACATATATAAATACACAGGTGTTTATATATCCGTACAGACATTCGGAATCCTCGATCGTGAGGCTGAAGTCAGGGTTAAAAATCGTCGAACGCGTGAAAGTACGTATACATGGTTGGTAGGTGCTGCATCCAAGTACTCAAGATTCCTTTGCGATTATTTGTGGCGATACACATCATTCAAGATTGCACAATTACAACTATGTATATCGCCATCCGGCTCACAATCAACTCGACAGAAAACGAAGGGATTACAATCGACTTAAATATAATCATATATATATAATTGAATATGGCACTTCTCGTTTATAGACTATTAACTATCGCAAATCCTATATGAATAATATGAAAATCTCCTTAACAAAAAACAAGTTTTCTCCATACGAACAATTGAATTAAAAAACTTAATTTTAATTTAACTCGAAATTAAATTTTAACATCGAACGAAATAAAAAAAACAATTCTTTATGAATTGGAAATTTTTTTTTTTTTTTACAGAAACTAATTAATTAAAATTGCAGCTTTATAGAAAATGATGGTAGTTTCAGTAGTTTTTCCAATTAAAGTTGCAATAAAGTTATATATACACTATTAAACAAAAAAAAGAAAAAGGATAAAACTTTAAATTCCTGGGATAAAAGCTATAAAAGTGTATAATAAATAAGAATTACGTGATAAAATATTACATGAACCTTTGTCGAGAGAAGATATGTAAATAATTTGAGGCTAAGATTTCGCTCACATAAAATTCCCTTCCTTTCACTTTATAAGGATATATTCTATATGTATATACGCCTACTGTTTCATGTATATATGAATATTGGAAAATTAATAATATAGGAATCAATTTTTCCCAATTATGGAAAAATTTATTCATTAGCCCAGAGGGCGAATTGCCCCAAACAAAAAGATGATAATGAAAAATAATGAGCGAGATAATGAAACTAAATTCACATGAGTTTATGATATAAAAATTCACATAAAAAAAATATCCCTAAACATACGTTTGCATGGTCTATATCGCCTCTTTAAAATAACTGGTATTTCACTCTTTTTAAAGTCCCTCTCTCTCTCTCTCGACGATAAAAATGATTCCGGGGGGGTAATAAACGTTAGGCGACAGATATGGCTATGAGTAATAAAAACAATTTTTTTTTTTTGTATATTAATAATGTAAATTTTTCACAAAAAAAAGGAATTCTGTCTCATTATTAACGATGATAAAAATGCTTGTTTACTTGTCGAGATTTTAATCGTTCTCTGACAAATTATTTTTTTAAAAAAAAATTTTTTCTTTCAATTACGTTTTAATTTGTTAAGAAAAGTCTTTGTTTTTTTTTTTTTTTTTTTTAAAATCCCCAATATATAAGACAATAAGGGATTTTTATGTGGAAAATTCAAAGAAACGACCTAATGAAAAAAAAGGCGCAGTTACGTTTTATAGCCATTGGCGTTTATGCCCGTTGAGTATCAAGAAATGAGCTCATCAACGTCCTTTGAACATTACCAGATGGGATACGATTTTTATCCCCTTATAAAAGACTCTTTGACGGCTTGAAAAGTTTATTAAAAACCAGTTTTTCTCCATGCCCATGATCTTTCAACAAGTCCATTCTTTGACAAGCATTTTATATCATAATAATTACTAAATTTATTTGCATTTTCAAAATCGTCATTCACTTTTATTTTTTGTTTACTATATATAACATAGGCATCATCGTAAAAACTTCAATTTATTGTGATTTTATACAAACAAAAAAGTAAACAATATTAAACAAGAAAAGATGATGATTTACGACAAATACGTTTTTTTCTCTATATATGGAAAAATATGCATTTTATATTGGAAAAAAAAAAGAATTTTATGACTCATAAAGAAGTTAAATACATTTAATTGTTATGTGTGATTTTTTTTGGAAAATGTTGAGTGAACTTCACTTTGTTTTTTTTTTAAATTGGAATTTACGGGTAAAAATCGATTAGAAGGGTGTGTAAATTAATACAGAAACATATTTTACGCAAGAGCGTGAATATTGCGAAATTTCTTACTCTCCGTTGCGTATACTAATTAACATCGTTTTAAATAGCATTTAAGTTTTAAAAAGGCTTTATAATCTTTATATTCTTGCACTATACGCAATTACTTTGTGTTATCTTTTTTTATGGAAAACGTAGTAGCCTCATAACAGAAAGAAAATTCTAGAGAACGAATATGTCCTAGTTAAACTTGCACTTTTTTCTTCTTTTTTTTAAAAAAAAGAGGATAATTGTAACTTGCACACATTTGAACAAAAAAGAAATTTAAATGAAAATTAAAAAACAAAGGAAGAAAGAAAAATTTCAAATGGTAATCATTTTCAAAGTAATTTTTTAAAATAAAACCCACTGAGCAGAGTATTAGTTTTGTGCACATTTCTCACCCTTCAAAGCCAGCTTTGCAAAATGTGTGTGTGAGTTTCATTGAAGGTTTCTAATTGAAATACACAAGTTTTGTGAAAAACATCATTTGGATTTTGGAGAATATATATATATATATATATAGATATAGAGATAACATTCGTAAGTTTGCCCTCGGAAACTAAACTAGTTCATTCACTTACTCAATAAGATCTCTCTGAGAAAGTTTCTTTATGCAACTTATTCAGTTTGAGAGTTCCCTCAATTTATTATTTGATCCGGCAAACAAGTTATAAAATTCTAACTATATTTTTCAACTATATTATAAAATGAAAGATTATATTTCATAAAAATTTTCTCCCTATTATAAAAATATAATAATAAAATAAAATAGAATTTTATTTTCTGTTATTATTCAATTATTTTTTTGGTTTTTAAACATTTTTAGATATTCTGGGAAACATATTGAATTGCAATAATAAATATAGAAATGGTTGCTAATGATAGTTGTTATAATGTAGTAAATATTCGAGAAGGAAAATTAATCTCCACAATGAAGAGAAATTTAATTCAATAGACAATAGGCCAAAAATTAAAAAACACCACTTGATTAATTAAATCTTGGCTTAAAAAAGAAATTTATATTTCTAAAACTATTATTGATTAATATTTATTCGTATATCATTATTTAAATAAATTTGGTTTGAATAAAAATTTAAAAAAAAAAATTATAATAGTTTTAATTATTGTCAACTTTCAACAATTGTAACTAATTATACTTTTAACTATTTAGCTAGAAATTGAATAACAATTTTTCCAATTAAACGCGCAGCAATTTCATTAAACCAATTAACGATATTATCGATTGGTTAAATAATTTACATTTTCAATTGATTTGAATTGGAAATGAAAATACATTCAATATGTTCTAGTTTCTAGATAGTAAAATTTTTATTTTGTTAAATTGTATTTTACGCGTGCCAGGAAGTGTTTTGTTTTTCAATCCTTGTGAATGTTTAGAGAGAGAGAGAGAGTCTAAAAGTGAAATGCTTTGATTCCCAGCATGTGAAAGATGGCAAGATGCTTTTCGAAGGATTTAACTTTCACATCTTCAAATAGGAAAAAAAAAATCAAGGCATAAGGATTTCCTTGTGCTTATCCAACGTGTGCGAGTTGAGAATGGCGTTTCCCTGACCTAAACTTTCTCTGCAACACGTGTCACATGTGCGGCTTCTTGCAGTATAAACTAACGTCTTCGTCTACCCAATTTCCTGTTATATGCCTTCAAAAAACTTGAAATTACAACTTTTAAGGGCTGTAATGTGTACATAGGACCCTTTGAAGGTAATCATACAGTTCCTGTAGCCACTCCCTCATGCTTTTGAAGCCGTACTACCTTTACCTGAGAGGAGAGATACTTTGGATCAGCTTTCAATGAATTAATTGTACTATATATGTATGGGTGTTGCTTTCCAAGAGACCTTTTCCCCCACTAGCGCTTTAAATCGATGACACGCTATCAATTTTAAAAGAGAGAACGAACATTTCACGATTTTTTTTTTTTTTTTTTTTTTTTTTTCACCATACCAGTCAGTGACAAACGATTACACGGAATATGTTACTCAATTCATCGGTATTATGAAAAGTAATCTTTTCTGAGTAATTACGGGGGAATATGAGTTTTTCTTACCTCAATCAAAGATCATTTATCTTCCAAGTTGAGAGGTAAAAGAATTTCATAAGTCATATTGAGAGAATTGTCTCTCAATGAAAAATTAATTCAATATTTGTTTGCTGAGCTGAAATTTTATATTCTCTCATTGGAAGACAAACGACTTTTGACGAAAGTCTAATTTTAATTTTTTTGCCAATGTTTCGGAGTCTAAATTAAAATTTTTGAAATATTACTCATAAAAATTTGAAATAAAATTGTCTATATATATATTGTATGTGAGATATCGTTAAATTGAATTATAATCCATTTTCCTCTCTCTCTAATTCTCAATTTCGATTTCAGGTATCTGGACCATTGATCGATTTTGTGGCAAGGCGAGGAATGGATCATCGCTTATCGAAGATTGTCTGAGATAATGACCGAGGAGAACCGCAACGATCAGAGAATCTTTCATGGACGGATATCTACAGCTCGATGAACTTGGGCTGGTCTGGTGCGTTAAAGTCTCCGCACACCTATCCGTTCCCGAGGAAGAGAAACCAAGAAAGAAAAACAGTGCTTTTAATAGACTTTTGGTCAGTTCGTAAAAACAAGAAAAATTTTTTTAGTGCAATTCCCACACACACAAAAAATAAATAAGAAGCTGAATATTTCAAATCCATTCTAGTGATATGAAATTCTACAAATTTGTGATAAAGTAGTAACCTAAGTTGATTAAGTAGTCATTTTTCAATTGTTGGATGCAGGGTCTTACAAATACGTAAAAAAAAAAAAAAGAAGAAGATATCAACGTACTTAATTGATGGATCTATTAGAAATATTCACAGAATCTCAAGAAGAGGATCTATTTTTTGTTTGATAAATTAATTTCAAATGGCTCTAATAATGTTTAGAACACTTGTAATTTTAATTGTGGTGATTACTTTGGTTTCCGCATTGGGAACCAATGACGGTGGTCCCAATAGTCCGGTGTTCAATTTAGATGGAACAGCCTTTGAGAAGAATATTGCGGCTATTTTCAATAAAGTGGCGCACAGTTCAGCGACAACAAAGCGAAGTGTTCCTGCCTTTGAGCCTCAGGTTTCCGCGAGTACAACACTCTCGACAGTGCCCTCACCTCTCTCGACAACATGGACACAACCGTCTGTCAAGAGTCCAGCGTCACGAGCCACCCCCTCACCTGTATTTCGAGAGCAACCGTCCTATGCTCCGCCGTCTAAGTCATTTTTCACACCCCCATTACCGCCCGAACTCTCAAATCCCTTTGCCGACAAGCCAACTCTCAGGGGAACACACTACGATCCCCATGTGGTGTTGAGAAGGCCCGTACCACCACCGAGTGGCACTCCAGCGCAAGAGAGAATACCGATAAGACCAAAGGATCTTGTTCAAGGTCCCTCACAACCCCCAGAGCGTTCGATCGTCAAAAGTAGTAAAACTCATAATTTAAGTAAAGAGCAAAAAAGCTATGAGGCATCAGAGCCAGAGAAGAGAAATATTTCCAATGAATTTGCTCCTACTTTACATTATCCCAGTATTTCGAGAATTTTGTCAGGAAGTAATGGCAGGAAACAAGACATTCCAGAAATTCTCCTTAAACCACTGCCAACCAAGAGTCCAGTGCAAAATATTGCGCCAATTTCAACAACAGAGAGGACGACAACAACTAGCACAATCAGGACAACAACCATGTCCAATTCTGTGACGAATCCCATCATATTTAATTTACCGAACACAAGGCGACAAGATGACGACGAGGACGAAGATGATGTTGATCGGGTAAATTCACTTTTTCTATTAATATTTTTTTTTATTAATAGTCTTATTTATTATATTGAAAAATTTTTGTCGAAAAAGGCGCAATCAAATTGTCATTTAAACGAATTTAATAAAAAAAATTTCAATTCATTTAAATTGTTTAACCAAATTGACACTTAATCGAACTGGTGTTTATTTTATTTTTGTCTTTTATAATTGAATTTTTGTTTGACTATATAATTAAATCGTATTATTATTTAATTAAATTACACTTACTTCTCTATTTCATAGAATTACACTTTAACTGAATTTTCACTTTTTTTTTTTAAATTTCCAAAATTGTACAAATTTTACGTCGATGAAATTTACAATAATCACAACAATTAAAAATAAATATTTTTTACGCGAAGAATAATAAAATATTTTGCTTACAAATTTTTCTTTTAAAAATTTATTGAACAAAAAACCTTGCAAAAAATTTTTTAAACAAAAAATTGTTATAATTTTTCTTCTAAATCGTTGATCATATACGTTTTAAAGTTCACCGACGTCAAATTTTTACTAAAAAAAAAATTATTTAAAAAAAATGTCCTCATTGTCTAATTTTAATCCTATTATTTGCCAATTACAAATTTTCTTCATAATTGAATATTAAATATTTAAAATCCAATTGAATTTAAATAATCTGAATTTCAATTAATTTTTCATTCTAGAATTAATCAAATAATTAGCTCAAATTATACACCACTTAAATGTATAATCCTCAGTGAAGATAATTTTTTTTTTTGAGAGAAATTAATAAGCGATGAATAATTTATCCAAGTTTTTTTAAAAAGAAATAATTAGTCACGAAAAAATTTTTTAAAAAAATTATCTTTATTTGAGAATTATTTTTTTTTGTAAAAATGAAAGTCAATTTGAAAATGAGTTTTCCCAAATGAATTACCCCTCTCCCCTTCTATTTTAGAGACGTATCATCCAAAAATTAAACTCAATTCCCAAATGATTTTCTAAACTTCATCTGCGAATAATCTCTTCTAGAACGATGAAAAGTTTACACCGTCAACAAAGTGTAGATTGTTAAAATTGTCGACAATCTCTGTCTACCCTGCATAGTATTAAAACTTGTTTTCAAACTTTCATCGTAGTGCTTCATAAGTCCATATTCCTTAGAGCATACAGAGTTTCTAATTTTAGCACGTTCCCATCCCAACTACTTGTTTGCTTCATTCTTTATACAGAAAAGGATTCTTCTCTCGACACATGCAAAAGTGTTGCTTTGATTTCTGATTCCTCTCTTCTTTTGCTCCAGTCTTCAATTTATAATTCCCTAGTTATCTTTCCTTTCTTTTTGCTTTTCAACTCCAAGGAAGTTGTTTCTTTTTTTTTTTTTAACACATTCTCATGTATATCATTATCATATATTCTCATAATGCAATTCTCTCTTTACTTTTTTGAGAAAATGATATATTTTTTTTAAAACAATTCTAATGAGTATTTTATTTTTAGGACCAGAAGAACTACAACGAAAATGTCTTCAAGACTGAGAATATTGAGACAGTGGATGGAGAACGATTACTTTATCCACAGCCACAACCTCCAAATCCTTCGAAGGAAGGACCAATTGATGATGATCGTGTGATACCACACAGAGATCCATTTCCCTTGGATCCAAGCTGGAGGATTGCTTGGTCTCTTCACGTCTATATTGCAGCAATCAGCTTTACTCTTATGGCACTCTACTCAATATATAAAATAGTTCGCTTCAACGATGCTACGAATCTCTTCACACAATCGTACTTTCTTACTGTGCATTTGCTGCTGACAACTGTGTGCACTCTAAGATGTTTTCATCTCTTCTACGATGCAAACAATCTCTCGGGTACATTGCACAGTTCACTGTCTGGAGTTTTAATGTATCTACCATCGCCAATGCTCTCTACGGCTTTTGCCACACTTGTCCTCTATTTGACAAGGTGTTCGGAAGCACCATCGTTTAACAATAAATACTTTTCACCAACATCAGTCGCATCTTATGCAATTGTACACGTTGTCCTTTGTATTTCATTGCAAATTTCCAGTCCTCTTCTTGGCTATCATGACGAGGCGAAAATTTTACCCCTCATCTGCCAATGTATTTATATAATTGTCTGCATGGTACTTGGACTCTGCTACATGTACGTCTATCGTGTGATTCGATCACAAATCCATATAACCACCAATAAATCAATAAACAATCATGTTGCCGCTGATCCCATGGCAATGGCATTGAATACAGCAATTACAACATCAATAGCAACAGCTCTCTTATTTATTCTCATGGGTAGTGTTCAACTTTTTGACTGTATCTTCGGAGTACAGGAAAGGTCCACATTGTATCATCATTCCTGGCTCTGGTGGGGTTGGCAATCTTCCGTCCGTTTATTGGAGCTCACCATGTGTGGATTAATGGCATGGGTCTCAAGTCTATCCCAATATCCATTACGTGAAAAACAACTTCAACAACATTCTGCACACTCGGGTTTTGCACTCTTTCCATGTGGAAGTTCAACATCCACTGAAAATATGGATGACGTACTCTATCCAGCAATATGCAGCACCAATCAGGCTATTCAAAATTATACAATGAGAACTGGCAAACAAGTTTACGATGATAGTTATCCATTGAATACACTGCCCGAACACCTCAATATCACGGGAACATTCGAGAGGCATTCAATTAGAAAATCAGGGACCATGGGACATTTCCCTCACGAGGGTAGAGGATCAATTAGTCGGCATGGCAATGGTGTGCAGACAATGAGAAATCTTGATACTCGTGGTAGGCATACGCCGACGCAAGCTGGATTACAGCATGAACAGGCGTCAGCCACGGGTTCAACGATGCTAGTCGCGGAAGATGGATTTGTCAGATTTCGTAGTCTTGGCGGTGAGGAGGAAGAAATGTCTGACTCGCAGAGTATTATTGGCACACATGGCAGGGGAAGTTCATTGGCGGGAAGTGTTAGATATAATGCAAGGCATCCTAATACAGTGCCACATTCTCATTCCCATCAACATCAACATGCCATTCAACATGCGCATCAACATCATCACTCGATGCAACACTCGCATCCAAATCAGGGACAATATCAGGCACACCATCCTATGCATCATCAGGTGTATAATAATACGTAGGTGTTAAGAGCCGCGGGAGTCTTAGCGGCCGTTAATCCTTGCTCCTGGTGTCGCTCTTCTGATAGGTAAGCATCTCATATTTTTAATTAAAATTTACATTTATCGGGAAAATCGAAAATAATGGAATTCATAAATTCCCATTAGTAATGTGTCACAAGAATATGAAAAAAAAAGTTCTGATAATATTCACAGTTCGGATAATCGAATTTTCATAAAATGAAATTACTATTTAATTTAAATTTCTATTTAAAACTACATTTTTATTCAATGAAATTTCTAGTCAGTCAAATGTCAAAATTTTGTGATGAAAATATAAATTCGAATAAATGGAAAATCGATTAATTTTTAAATTCCATTAAATAGTAATTCTATTTTATAGAAATACTTTTTAGTATAAACTCCAATAAATTAAAATTTGATTAGAATTAATACTAGAATTAATTTAATTTATAAAAATTAAATAAAACTTCTTCTATATGAGCTCGATTCAATATAAATTGAATTTAAAATTCTTTAAAACAAAATGGGGTGAAGACACCAGTGGTGGATCAGGAGCGATTAAAAAAAAAAGTTATTCTTTAAAAGACAAAAAAATTAAAAAGTAGCATATTCGAGTCTTTTTATTGCTGCTGATCCGCCACTTGTACTTTTACCCTATCTTTAAAAATCAACAATTGAAAGAAACCTCGATTTTATTTTAACGAAATTGATCAATTTTTTTCTTCATTTATCAATGACTAATTTGAATTCTTTTTTTCTGTTACAGTGTTTACCAAGAATGTCACCATGTGTAAAATGGTCAAGCAACATTCAGTCAAAGCGAGTGTCTGATCGTGATGCACAACGTGAAAAAAAAAGAAAAAAAAATTAAATTTTTATTTAAAAACAATGTAAGATATAACTTGTGTATAAACTAAGTCTTACATTTTCATTGTATTTCATCATTTTCATATGAAAATTGAGATCTTTTAAATTAGTCCATCGAAATGATATTTATTTTGACTTTGAAAAAGTCAAGAAAAAAAAAAATTATAGCAAGAAATAAATCTCGGAAATCTTCGCTTCACTATGGGTAGTCAATGAGATGATGTTTCAAGTTTTTTCATCTTGTATTTGGCGTATGGTACTTAACGCTACTCTTAAAACGAGTAATGAAATAAGAGATACGGATATTTTTATTTTAAGCCCATAGGACGCTTTATATCCAATCAATGTATCCGTCGTTAGTGCGATTCGAAAAGAAGATAATTGTATATTTTCTTTTTTTTTTATTATTATTTATTTTAATATAATGCATAATCGCTAATTATTGTAATTACGTCTTTATTTCGAGATAATTGCCAAGAAATGTTGTGCACCGAGCAATTATATTTAAATTGACTATTTCCGACCAGTTATTATGTGGTTAAGAACAAGACTGATTTCTTTAAATTTTTCATATAAAGAGTTCCGATAAATGGTTTCTATTTAAATATTATAATTTTCATTATGGAATTGTGATCGTTTTTTTTTTATTTTTTGACTATTTCATAGAAAGGTCTTTTTTTTTGTTTTATGGAAATAATGTCTAACTATTTTTCCAAAAGAAAAAATTACTTTTTTTTTAATTTTCATTCAGTGAAAACTATCGCAATGGCCAGTGACTAAAAAAATTTGCGAGTTTTCTGCTGATTTTAAAATTTTTATTTAATTTCAAAGTGTACTTAAAACATATTTTTTAGTCTGATTTTATGGTAAATAAAATTTCTTTATTAAAATGTCGATACGGTCAGTAAAACTGATCATTCTTGTTTTCGAATCGCACTTTAAAAAAAAATACATCATTTACGTATTGAAACGTAATCTACATAAAACGTGTACGTGATTTTTTTCTAGATATTGGCCAAACGGGGTCCAAACGCGACGTTAAAGATTCCAAATCTTTCATGAGTATTCGAATTGAAAATCGTGCTTATGGTTGAGTCGAAAAACGTTTTTGTACAGTATAGTAAATTATCGCTCAGTAAGTCATAAGATTTAGTTAGCATTTTCGAAATTAGACTAAGTTATTCTGTAATATATTAATTTACGTTTCGAATATAGATATTATATTTATGAATTGAAGACTTTGCGATTAAATATTAATTTAATTGGTATGAATGAGCGAGAAAGATGAACGATATGTGATTTGAAAAAAAAAGTGAACGACGAAATCGTGAATGATATTATGTGCAAGAATGAACAATGAGTTAATTTAAGTTTCAAGCACCGGCCAGCATTTTTTTTTTTTTAGAACATTTTTTGAAGACTATGGTACAAAGTAGCATTTCTACTTTTAATCAGTACTATTTTGTCTTGTATATGTTTATATATGTACAATGTAAATATGAAACACACACAAACACACATACACACTCTTCGTGAGTATATCAATTTTTAAAGACACTTTTTAAGTTCAACTTGAGTGTAATTCTTGAAATATGCCAGTGTGAAATAATTGTCTCTATACTCCTTTTTTTAGTGTGGTTCTTAAAAATAATATTTTTATTTTATTTTAAATCTCTTATTTATTTTTTTAAAATATCAAGAATCGTTTTTTTTTTTATTTATTCTTTTTATTTGAACTTTTTCAATACATCACTTGAAAAGTTTAATAATTTTTCTTTTTTTTTTTCTTTAAGAACAACACTAAAAAATATTCTTATTATTAAATAATCACAGTGAAACAGTTTTTGAACTATTCATTTACCGTTGAATAATTTCACGAATGTCAATTAGTTTTCTTGCGCTTTAATACTTGTGTTAATGTAGTAGCAATAGTTACTCTCTTCAATAAGAATAACCGTACACCCGCAATTTATTACGAATTCGTAAAGAGTATATGAATTCAAAATAAAAAATGTTTTTTCATAGATATTATTGTCCCCACCCCCCCGACAAATGCCTCGCATTTTCCGCAGTGCGAAATAAAAAAAAGGGAATTTGTTCGTAAGATTTTTCGATATTTGAAAGAATTTTTATTGATGTCTCGCGATGATAACATGTTAGTATATCGGATCTGTATGGAAAAAAATATATCTCAATATTATATGACAAAATGTGTCATGTACTTCTTACATGTAATAATGCAAGTTTTTATCTCAAGTTTTTGAAAGAAAAAAAAAAGTTATTAAAATAAACATTCCATCTTTCACACATCGCCTAGAATAAGAAATGCGTAAAGAGAAGGAGATAAGAAAAAAAAATGCTTATATGAACAAATGTGAGTCCTTTGTAAGGGTAAACATTTTTGTTTGATTTTAGCAAGTTAAAAAGCGCAAAAATTTTTTAATAAAAAAAAAAAGAAACGAAGAAAGAAAAAAGTGAGAAATCATAGCTCTTATATAAGCTATTATTATATAAACGAAAAAAAGATGCTTATGTATTGGAACTCTGTAAAAACTGTATAATAACTGTACAAAATAATAACTATATAAATCATATATATCTTTTGTTTTTCATTTTACTCCTTTCCTGATAATTTATTCCGATTAAAATAAACGTTAAAGGTCCTTTTTAAAAAATACATTTTAGGACAGGTTGAAACTCATAAACGTGAACCAGAAAGATTAAGAATATTGAAAATTTATAATTTATATAGGTCGCGGATAGTTATACTAACTTATTTTTTATTATTTGTCTGATTAATTTCTTGTCGATATTATCCAGTGAATTAAAAAAATATATAAATAAAAGAATATGTATTCCATCTACAGAAAGCTATATACATTCCGCATTATTTCATTACTATTTTACAAATTTATTAAAATTTATTAAAATTTAATTGATTGAAAGTGGAAATAGGTTACTCTTAATAATAATTTACAACTTGTAAATTCTACTTTCTCTCTATTATTCTGTTATTACTTTAGAATTATAGACGTATTGATGTCAATTATTCCAAGTCTATATATTTTAGGGTGGAATTTATATTTCTCGAAAATTTTATATTCTTTTGTTATTATTTTAGAATTTCTCATCTAAAATGCTGATTAAGTTCCAGATTTAAATATGGACTTCAATTTTATTTGTCACGGGTCAGTTCATATTTGAAATATTAAGATTGATCTTCCGATTTTTATAATTTTTGCAAAACTATATTTTCATCTTTATTAGTCTTATTTGTATTTTAAAGAAATTTTTGAATAACTCCTGCAATTTTTGATATCTTCAAAATTCCTTTAAATATACAAATAGATTTTTTAAATTAATATCAATGTTAAAGTTAAAATTTATTTATGTCTAAATATTAATAATAAAGATTTGATTAAAAAAATAATAAAATTTAAATTTCAGTATTTTTCAATATTTCAAAAAATATCTTAATATTAATTCTATACTATATTTAATTTATAAAATGAAAAATAAAATAAAAATAAAATTTTACCTTGTTCTCAAAGATTCTTTGTATGTCTACCCATTAATTTTTCTCTGTAAATTATCAGTCACTGATGTTTGAAGATTTGCGTCAAGTTGCGTAAATATGTTTTTACAATTCTCAAAAAAAATATTCGACTCACTGAAAGGACGATGACTGATGATTCATCAATTACATAAGTAGCCGTAGATCCTCAATATCTTCGCTCGATAAAATCAGATGAAGATCTAGAATATATAATAGATTGGAAGTTTAAAATAAAATAAAAAATAAAGTACAGAAAGAAGATTGGTTACTTTCTCGCATGGCAACTGAAATACATATACACAATATAATATATGAATTCCGGATTTTTAGCGTGAACAATTCTAAGAAAATCTGCCTAATGATGAGACTGAAATATTGAAACAACGTCAAGCAAAATGAGTCTCAAGGGATATTGAAGAAATTTGATTTTTTTAAAAAAAATATATGACATATTTAATTTAAAAATATAAAAAATTTATCTTTCTATTTTTTATAATTATAATAAAATTATAAAATTTTATTCAAATAAATTCTATACTCAAAATAAATTTTAATAAAAAAATTATCTTTTATATATACATATCATGATGAGTAATTTTTAGAATATAAGTAACGAATTTCTCAATTTCAAAAGACAAAACTTTGCTGAAATTGCAGTTTCAATGTGAGAGACACATATTGCATTAACGAAACTTTAATGTATTTCAAACTTTGTTGTTACGAAATCGTATCTATGTTTGTACACCTAAAGTTGATAGAACCAGTTTGTCCCTGACCGAATTCCGAATCATATTCACTTGCAAGTGATGATTTCATCCTTTTCAGGGTTACAAGGAAGAGATGTTATTCCCTTTTAGAGATTTAATTATTGGCATATAATGCTTAAAAAGAATTGTAGTTCCAATTTTTTATCGTGAGAATATATCCATTCTCGATAAACTTGAAAAAAATAAGTTTCAATGAAAGAGCTAAATTATTGTTGTATGTAGAGAGAAAAATTGAATGAAATAAAAATTACTACAATTAATATATCATTACCATCATTATTATAATTATTATCATCATTCATATTACTATTGTTATAATAAATTATTGTTGTAATTGTAAAATCTTGTAATTTTCATAAATTTTTCTTCAAAAGTATATATTTTATATTACTTTTCCACTTTTATAAATAAAATACATTTTTTAATTTGTATTGCATAAAAAATTGAAAACAATAATAATAGTAACAATGATGGTAATAAATGATTGTAAATGTCGGATATTGCAAATATTGATTAAATTTTTATCGATATTATACAAGTTTACATATAAATGACGATATGTTTATTATGATATTAAGATAATAAAGCGCAGTGGCGGGAAATATTAAATTTGACGTGAATGTGACATTCACCTCCTGGATGTCTGTAGTTTAAGAGTGTATTGGTGTAGAAATATTCTCGAAGGAAGAACTATATACAACATCCCACCAATCGTTCGCACGTGTGATCAGTAGCGTACGATTATTTACAATTATTTTTCTACAAAGTTAATAAACAAAAAAAAAAGGATTTTCCACTACAATGATAATTAATAAACCTAAAAATTCTGTAAACCCTATAAAAAATTTATTACTTCATTTTGTTTTACCCAGTTTCATTACATATTTACAAAATCGATGAATATAAATATCTCCGGCATAAGCAGAGAGAAATTATTATATAAATAAGTTAAAATTGCCATACTGTAAACAATTTTTCGATTTAAATATTTGAGGAAGACTTGTTAATTTAATTTCAATATTCTGATAATATAAAATCAAAAAGTAATTAGGCCCTTTTCAGTATCGATTCAGGAAATTCTTTTTCAAACCAAAGAAAATAAATAAAAAAAAAGAAAATCTTTTAATTTTAAATACAAAACAAACAAAGAAGACAAAGAATGAAGATTTCAAAAAATATTGTACGAAAGCAAAATAGTTGCTATATTGAATTCAATGAAAGAAAAAATTATGAAAATAAAAAATTCAAAATCTCGAAGATGAAATTAATTTCCTTTATCTTTTGTTGTGGTTTTTGGGGTTTAAAAACTCCCTATATTTATGATTCCTCTTACGCGCCTGTAATTCGTTTCACTAACACTGAAGAAAACATCTCGCCCACTACATTCTTCGTGAACCTGTGCGTACAGAATCCCGACTCCTTTGATCCCCCACTTTTACTTGCTCTCGCTGTGCAGGTTTGAACACGTTTAGTGCACGCTGGTTCTCGAGATTAGTCACCACGATTTACAATAGTCTGCAGGTGAACTTTGAGGATAAAACAAGAGAGAAATCCTCTTTGCCAAAATAATTTGCCTTCGCGAATGTCTAAGTTTCGCAGAAAAGTTATAGTTTTTTCCCTTTGGTGTCCATAGAATTCCTCCTTGTGTGCCTCTAAATTATCTATTATGTTAAGTGTGATCTCCAGTGCCTTTTTTACTACGACTGAAAAAATGGTAAGTCCAAATTTTCATTTGCCTTTTTGTTCAACAATTAAACAATTACATTTTGTTCAATAATCTTGCACAAAATTATATCGAACTTTTGTGAAATTGAATATTTCAATATGAATCGAAATCATGGTACCATTGCTCTCGAGAGCATCGCTCTCTCGCGCTTAGTCATCCACTTTTGTATATGTATATATATATATGTGTGATTTCAATTCTCCAGAATTCACTAACATTATCAAAACCGTATAAACATTTACAATATTCAGGCACGGTGTTATTTATTTGCTATTTACCTTTTTAAAATTAAGTAAAGATTTCTTTTTCCCATTAAACTTGGATTCTTCGGAGTAATTAGAGGAAGGTTTTTGCGTGCACCAACTTGCAGAGACTTGCACAAAACTTTTGTGTTTCGCGCTTATGTTTCTTCTTCATTTGGCACCCTTGCTCTGCATTTATGTCAATCCTGAAGATTTCAATTACTGAAAATTCAAAAAAAAAAAAAATGTTTATCTCTTAACACATGAATCATAAATTGAGAAAATAATAATTAATATAATAAATTATTAATATTTAAAATGAATTTCTGAAAATAAAAATTGAAATTATTTTTGTAGACAAAAAAAAAATTTTTTTTTTAAATCTCAGGTTACTAAGGTCATTGTTAATTTATCATACACGGACAGTAGTATATATGAATCATAATGAAAAAGGTAGATATCAAGTGAAAAGTTATTTATAAGGTCTTTTTCCTTCAATCACAGTGAGAATCTTTTGTGCAAGATAGACATCTGCAAACTTGACGTTGATGATGCAATATAAGACCAAATGTGCGTATCAAATAAAAATCGCGTAAAAATGATTATTGTTAATAAAAAAAAATTTTGTTTAATTAACATTTTCAAATAATTAAGAAACTATAATAGAAAATTGTATCGTTTGATCAGTAATTATTGAAAATTTCCCATGATTTTCTGAATCCCTTCTTTTGTTCGACATGATCTTCTTTGTTCTCTTTGTTATTAAATGTTAATTTTTTTTTCAACTATTATGAATTATTTTTACCTTAAAATCAAATTTTGAGTCATAAAATACAATATTCATAGATGTGTTTTCAAATTTCTTGTTTGTTACCAAGTGTATGGGTCTTCCATATCATCAAGGTCAAGTACAGAATGTGAAATAGAAAGTTTCGAACACCTATTGAATTATTTGATGATTAATATATATCTCAATGATGATAGAAATCGCTTTTTTTTTCTTTTTTTTTTTTTTGTTTGTTATGATTATTCCTCTACGTCATATTATTTGACATTCAATTATTTGAAGCGTAATTGTTTTCTGTTCAAATTTCATGAGTACATTTATTTTAATTATCATTAATTTATCGACAATTTTTTTAACAAAAAATGTTTCTTTTTATTTCAGGCACATTTTGGATATATTAGTCTCATTTTATGCTTATTGGTAAGTTAGATTTTATTTTGTTATTTATAATTTTTAATTATATATGATTGTGATTTTAAAATACACATATTTGATAATTTTGCATTACAGCTAGAGGTGGATAATTATTTTAAATAAAACAAAAAAAATATAATTTTTTCAATTTAAAAATAATTTCAATTTAAAAATATTTTTTTCAACGAAAACCATTTTTTGATGTCTAAACCATTTCTTGATAATAATACAAAATAGAATAAAATAAGATTTTTATTGAAAGTAAAGTATTTTATTTGATAAAACTTAAAATTTTTTTAAATTCTCTTATACAATATTATTTTTGTAACGATTTAATACCTAATTTAAATTTGCATTTTACTTAATAAAATATTTCTTAGTATATATAAAAAAGATATTTAATTCCCTTTGTTAAATAGAAAGTCTACTTAAGTTATTTTATTATTAAAATGAAAATGAAAGCCACCTCTACGAAACATGTTTTTGCATTTTATCAAGAATTGATTTGAAGGTCCCATCAAAAAGTGATGCGTCAACATTTATATTATTATCCCAATTTTACCGAATATTTCCCATATAAAAAATATGTTATGTGAGTATTTTAAATATTTTTTTCTATCTTTGATATTTTATTTAAACTAAAAAAATTCTGTATGTTTTCCTGAAATTTTACTCTTAAGCGTGCTTTCTTTAAAGTAGAAAATAATTAAAAGCGAATTAAACAAAAATATTTATGTGTTTGGAAGAAAAAAGTGAAAAAATTCACTTGAAATATGCACATAAATATTTTCATCGCTTTTTAAATTAAAAATTTAAATTTAAAATAGTGATGGATAAACCATATTTCAATTAGTTTATCACTAATGAGAAAATCTAATCAAAAAATTTGTTAAAAAATGTTCCTCTTTAGAATACTTCTTTGTTTTACAAATTTTTTTCGACTTTGTTCAAATGTAACGTTAAATTTCTTTAAAGGAAAATAAAAAACTAATTAATATGGATTATTCATCACAAACATATTGGGTGGTATTCTATTTAACCGAAAGTTGAAATATTTTTTTGCGATTCATATTTCAATAAATGATAAGCATTGCACAAGTGAAGATTGAAATACGACACTCGCGAAGAGTTTTTAAAAAATTCAGTCACTGCAGAACAAAAACATATTATTAATAAGAAATTTAATTTAAAAATTCTTTTGTCGTATGCGTCGACTTTTGATCTTTGCATATATATAATATAATACACGGAGAGAAAATTCTAAAACTACTTTTTTTCTTATTCATATCAAATTTATCTTTTTTATTGTTGTATTTATTTAAAATGAACATTTGCTCTTATCTCGTAAAATGATCATCACATAAATTGTTTCGCGAATGTATTTACGAATGTAATATTTGTTTAAAATTTTTCTCCGTGATTGCATGATTAACGACTTTAGTGATGGGCACATTATGCTTTTAATAATAATTTAATTAAAATAAATTGACATCTAAAAATAATTTGAAATAATTAATTTAATTTTTTTCAAATTAACATTTATCATAATGTGTTCTTTACTTCTTTTTCTGTAGTAGAAAAATTAGATTTTAAACTGACATTTTATTAATGTTGGTTCTATTTATTGTGCACTACACTGTTAAAAAAATTTTTAATTTTAATTAATAAATTTTTAATCAAACCAATTAAATGTTCGTGAAAATAAAAATAATTAATTCATAAAATTTAAACATAGTAATGGTTTATTTTAAATAATTTGATAATTAAAAAAATTCCTTCTTGTGATAAAAAATTAATTAATAAAAATTAAAATATAAAATATTTAAAAAATAAATTACAATTTAAATAACATGATTTTCATTAATAAAATTAATTTATTAATTTTGTTAATGTATTTCTTTTGATTTGAATTAAAAACATAAAAAGAAAATTAAAACCCATTAACAGAGTGAGTGCATTTATGTAAATATACATATATATTTTAAGTTTTCACTTGTATATGAAACGATTTAATCGCAAATTAGGCGAAATCAAAAATTTTTTGTAAAATACATTTAATTTTATTTTTGTAAAAAAAATTTTTTAATAACATGTGAAATTAAAGCCTATTTGCAATGCACACGTTTCATGTAAAAAGTAAATTAGATTTAAAAAGTGAGATTTAATTTATGCTAGAATATCTGTAAATAAACCGTTTACTGGCAAATTTACAGAATTTGCAAGAAAAAAATTCTCCAAAAATATTTGTTAATTCACTATTTATGAAAATTTACAAAAGTGTAAATTACCAGAACTATGATGAGATGTAAAAATATTAATACAAAAATACTTAATAACTTTAACTAAATAGTATTTAAATTAATATAATTTATAATTATTATTGTAATAATTATCACAATTAATTTTGATAATTTTATCCGAATAATATTCGTACTTAATTAATGTACAAATAATGTAATTTAATGTATGATAATAATAACTGATCAACAAAATTTACTTATTAAACAAATTTTTTAGAGAGATTTTTTTCTGCATCTATGAATTATGAATGAAATAAATGTGAAGTTTCGAAACTCGAATTCATGGCATTTCATAACATTGTGGAACCATTATAACATGCGTGCTGATAATAAAAAAAAATGTAAATACAAATGAAAATTCGCAATTTCGATCGGGTGAAATTTTAATTATATATGAACGAAATCAGGATAAAATTTCTTTTGTTCATCTTCAGATCTCGTGTTTTATCGGCCTTGATGGATTATATTATAAAAAATTAAATCGATACAGTCGAAACTTGACAATTATAATGTTTGTAGACAATATGATGTTTATAGTTAAGCAAAGGAGCACTGAAGGTGCTTATTCTAAGACGATTGATTTTTCCTCGTGTTTGTCATTAAATCATCAATTTGGAAGATTTGGCGAGAAAAAAGAAGGGTAAGGAACACTTCTAAAATGGCAAATTACAAACTAACTCATTTTTCTTAGTTTGTTTTATATCAAATGCATATTCACTGTCAGAGATGAGCATGTTTAATTATTGCACTTAATTTCTTTATATTATTATTTTTTTTAATTTATCATGTTGCAAACAGACAAAAATCAATTACTTAGTTACTACTTATAAGTAATTTTTAATTTTAAGAATATATCCGTTAATTTATAGTAATTAAATTAGATACTTAAGTTAATTTAATTATTAATCTCTATAAATATAATTTTATTTTATTGACTTGTAAATTTCGTAAATGACTTATTTTTAAAATCTAAGAAATGAATCCTTTATGAAATTCACGATTCTACATTAGTTAATAAAATTTGTTTGAAAGAAATCAATTCTTTTCTTTAGCAAATTTAAGTTATAAAAAAAGTAAAGACAATTTTTTTCTATAATTCATTTCATACCACTACATTACAAATTAAACTAAATTAACAAAATATTGACTAAGTTCATCTCTGCAAGTAATTTTAATTTAAAAATTCTGTTATCAGAAATTAATTTGCCAATTTAATAATGTATCCATGAAAAAGGTAGTTTAGACGCGTAGGTATAGAAAACTTTCTATTTTTTTCTTTAATTATTTAGTGATATTGAAAAAGTTTATTCTAGTCCATTGATCGTTTTAGATTTATAAAGTCAGCAGTGTCATATTTTGTCGCTAAATTTAATTAATTTATCATTGCTTTTCTAAAGTGTGCAGCTCTCGGAAATTGTAATTTTGGAATACGAACATAGATTCATTTTCATAAATCTCTGAAAACAAACAATATACACGTCTGCAAAATATTTATCTGATAATTTATTAATTCCGATAAATTATTTTATAGTGTTTCCTCGATTTGCTTCTACAAAGTTATGCAATGAGCGATTTTCATTTTCGACTGTGCTTTTAACTTCATTTAGCTAATCGGATTTATGAATTGAATTTTGAGATAATTAAAAAAATATTCTATTCTATTAATTGTAATTTATTTACTTTATTTAATTCATTTAATTAAAAAAATGAAATTTATTTTTATAATTTTTTCTTTTTCAATTTGTTACGAAAAATTCATAAATCTAGAAATTTAATTGTTTTTATCGTGTTGTCTAAAAAAAAAAAAATTGCTAGAACGTGTGATATATGTTAAAATTGATTGTGATTACATAAAAATGTATGGATATTTGATCTTTACTTGCTAATTTGAAAATTTACGATTTTTAGGCCTCAGCCAATGCAATATCAAGGTGCAATGATGACAGAGATTGTCCGGAAAAAGAATATTGTTATGATGTATCACATCGTTGCTCAAATTATACAATATGCAGTAGATATAATCGATTGGAAGGTAAAGAAAGCGCTCGACACCCTTCAAATTGCGGGCCCTGCATTTCAGGATATGAGGCGGAAATATCGACAATTGGGGAACCAAATGATATTTGCAAAAAAACTGTTATTGCTCAAAAGGAGGATGGTATGAAAAAAAAATTTCCTAACTAAATAGAAATTAAATATTACAATTATCTATTCGAAATTGGAAAATTTCTTTAAGAAATACTAATTAATTTAAAACTAAATCACTTTTTTCTGTTTAGAATCTGACACCAATAAAACAATTTACACCTGGTTATATTCATCGATGATAATTATTGTAATAGGAGCAATTTTGTTATGTACTTTTATGAGAAAACGTAAGTAATATGGAAATCAATTAATTTCTAAAAACAAATTTGAAATAAAATTACATTCATTAAATTATTCTCATAAATTTGTTTTTAGCTTGTAAAAAATTATTAGATATTCATATGAGGAAAAATAGTAGTTGGACAAACATGTGCAATTTTGGACCAAGTGCTCCTCCACTTGGAACAGGTAATGACAATTTCATAAATGTAAATTCTAATATTTTATTTAAAAATATTAATTTTAATTACTGTAGATATTTATCGAAATCTAATAATTAACTATTCTATTTTACTTCCCAGGGTCTTATATTGAAGTTGGAGGATCACCACACTACACTGCGATAATGAATAATAATGACAAATATATGGACAAAAATAAATTAGTAGCTGCTACGCCTTTTCATAATCCAGATTGGATTAAGCCAAATCCTAATTATAATGAACCTCAGGAAATTCCAGAACAAGTTTTAACACCAGAACCAATACCGCCAGAGGAGGACACTAATCCAAGTTCCTGGACTCCTGAGTAAGTATAGATAACTTTCAGGTAAATAACTTGCGGCTATCTTTAAAGTTTACATTCAAAAGTATACCTGTTTGAAATTGGGAATATTTTAAAGAACACAAATTTAATTGAAATTATCATTGTTTAAAATTGATAATTTTATTTAAAAAATATAAAAAAACATTAAAATTGTATTCTTTAAAATCTCTACAATTTTTGTCAGGAAGAAAAAAAGAATTCTAAATACTTTCATTTAAAAACGACAATAATGGAAATTCTTATTTTATTTTTAAAGAGAAATTGAAATTTATAATTATTTTTCTGTTTAGACAAACATCCGAACTTGTACCTACACGACCATTCGCACAATTTAATGCAGAAACCCGAGACAACGCAATGAATGCAGTTTTAGTTCAACGAAATTGCCCAGCAGTGTCTACGATCTCAGAAAATAATGATTCCACTTCTGAAAATACTGATTCCCAAAGTAATTCCGATCATATTAGAGGACCAAATATTTTGATAAGTCAAAAAATCACGATGAATGTTAATGTTGTCAATGGAGATTATTGATAACCATTTATTACATTACATATCATGCATGCCTACCTAGTGAAAATCATAATCGGACGTATTATTATTATTATTATTATTGTTATTATCATTATATATTAATCGATATGCATCAAATTTATAATGCATATAAAATTAAAAGTTATAATGCATCAAAATTAAATACACTGCATCAAATGTTTGACACATTTCAATTAGATGCATTTATAAATAATGTATAATTTCCATATTGGAAAGGTTTACATTTATCAAAATTTTTTTCTAAAAATTTTTGTACAACGTGATAAATATCATTTTTCATTGTTTAACACTATATTTTTTTTATTTATTTGCATTTTGTATCATTATTCACACATTTTTCGATTCTGATTTTACTTTTAATTAATATTTATAAAATATAGAACTTAAGCCATAACGAACGTGAGGAACGTTTGAAAGTCACAATAGATTTTATAGAATTCAGTTTAAAAGCCTAGATAAATATTGAATAATACTCTGGCATTATACTTAAGATGAAATTATTTAATATTGAAGTTTTTTTTGTGAAACATTAAAACTTTCAATGGACAACAATATTTTTGATGACATTTTTTTTTTTGATTTTAGAAAATGATTCTCTCTCTGACAGGAAATCTCAATATTTCTTTTTTTTTTTAAAGACATAATATTGTAGGAAATGATTTATTGTAAGTAGTGTTAAGTTCTTTATAAATATTGGTTTAAGTACTTTATAAGTGAATGTTTATTACGCAGTCAGGATGAAAAGTTTCTTGTTGATTATTATTTTTTTTTAATGAATGTTTTACATACACAGACGTGTATGGTTTATGAATAAAAAAAAAGAGAAATTAAACTTACGTTTCTTTATTGATGGGCTCATTTTCGTAGCTCACGGGAATTCCACTTCGTCCTTGAACTGATGATTTTACCTCGTCCTGACCTAATCGTTGTTCAAGACCCTTCCAACTTCTTGCTTGAAGAAAATTGGCACCAGCTTTTCCAATTGCCACAGTCCCATCAGATTTACATGCTATTGCATTCATTTCTGATGAAGAAGGCTCATCTTCCTTAGAACCACGAACACCTCCCGATATCAATGAAATATCCGGTTCAGTTGATGCTTGAAAATTTACATAATTTATGCCACCGGGCAATATTTGATTGAAGTCCATGCAATAGTTTTGTGAAAATTCTCGCGAACTATTAAAAGCTAAATCAACTTCGTATGGTAATAACATTGGCTTCAAAAAGTCTCTCGACTCGAATATTTCACTTTCTGGACAAGCAATTACCACAAATGCATCCATCTGAAATATTTAATTTAAACAATATATGAAAACAAAAATTGTAATTGTAATTTATATTTAAGAAAAAAATATATATACAACACCTCTGGAAAATTTGCAAGTTTTGCCGGATTTATCTTCCCAACGCATAATGTATAAGTTTTCTTGTTAACTTTTCTCAGTGTACTTTTGAGGGAACTTATTATATTTAAGTAGTTTTTAATTCCTAAAGTGGCAACAACAATCCCAACAACTTTCGCATCTTTAAGTTTCTCTACGAGAAATCTTCGTCTCTTTAACCAAGGAGTGTTTAAAGCCTCAAATTTTTTAATTCCACCCCCTTCTGAATAATACCAATTCTTCGCTGGAATGGTCATTGCTAAATTTGCAAGTGTCTTTCCACCTGGTCCCAAGAAAAACATCTCATAATCCTCATTTTTACAATCATTTTCAAGAGTATAACTTCTACCTAATATTATATTACTTTCATCATCTGTTCGTTCAGTGTAATTAACATTTGACTTGCAATTCAATTTCGTTAAAAGTAAATTTTTAAATTTGTCCTTGAGAGATTCGTAAATTTTTTCTGAAAAAAAAAGAAAACACGTTTTATCCTAACAATATTGTAAATTTTAATTATTTTTACTCAAAAATTACCAATAGCATGAGCGTAAGAAATGTCGTAGAAAAATAATAAATCTTTGGTACGATCCTCGAAGAATCGATCGAATTCCTTGCAGAATTCTGTTACATTGATTTCTTGTTTTGGCAAAACATGATAAATCGGTAAACGTGTTGTGGGACTCAAACAAGCATGTCCAAAATGTATTATTCCATCAGCACCAACATGTTGAGCAGTCACTTCGTCTATGCAACAACTTCCATAGGATGTGTCTCCTAAAACGTAGACCTTTTGTCCTAAACCTTCTTCTAAATATATTGCAATAGGAAACGAATCTGGTAAAAGACAGTCTGGTAACTGTAAACACACCTGAAAATAAAGATAAATAAATACCTTTGTAATCTGTTTTTTTTTAACACACCCTTTATATTATCCCGCGATTCGAATTCTAGTATTTTCTACTACCCTGTAGACAGCTGTACGTGCAAAACCGCCTAGCTTGAATGGCGGATAGTTTAATATGTCACGTTTTTTTTATGGTTATTTTATTTCTGAACAATCGACAGAAAAGTGTATTAAATTTTCAACAAAATTACATAAATAAAAATATTTAAAAATAGATAAAAATTAACGATTTAGGGCTTCTCGAAAACAATAAACATACCCTTTCAAGTTTTTCATTTTGAATCCAGGTAATACACTTCTGTAAATCATATTTCTCGGGCACTAGCTCATTTGGTGTAAATTCAATATTTCCCTCAACTTCAACAGTTCTTTCCAATGTAGCGGATTCATTGCTACTAAAAGCTAAAGCTGTCATTTTTAATTTTTCTCACAATTTTTGAAAATTTGTCTTTCGAATTTTTTCAAAACCATGTGACTACTGTGCACATGTGCAAATTATGACGCTTTTTCATAGACTTACACATTGACCAAGAGGATTTTTGAGGTTATACAGTTAGTGATTAATCTTGTAACTGTTCAAGGGGTTGTAAAACCCACAAATTTCAAAATTTTAAATATCTATACACAAATAGAAATTATTTAAACAATATTTTTAACAAATATCACTTTTCAAATATTGTTTATACTTAATAATTAATGTTTTAAACAATTATTTAACATTTTCACCGTTGGATTCGTTGGATATTAAATTAGACTGAAAAACAAAATGCCTGACTCTCGAACTTGACCAGGATCGTAATTGTGGTGGGTTAAAAATAAATTTACTTTTACAAAATAAAAATCATGAAAATAAAATAATATCAAGTAATGCAAAACATATTATTTATACATCATTTGTTTACTATAGTTATTTTTAGTGAAATAAATTTAAATGAAAATAAATAAATTGCAGATAGTAATTTATCTGCAACATTAAAACCACGTGTCAAAGAAAGTTGTTACGATCCTGGTTTAAAAAACAGAATTTCTGGTTGATTCCTTTGTTGTAGAATTTAAAAAACATAAAGGATGTAAACAATATTATCTTGAGTTAATTATTATCTGAAAAGAATTAAAAGACTACATAATTATATAAAAATGTGTATATATTGATATATTTTAATCTTCAATCTTTATATATATAGCAGTATATATATATTAGTGACACACATTTTAAGTATACATAACCTCACGTTCACAATTGACCTATACACACATAACAATGTCAGTGTTTATAAAGAATGTAACTTAACAAATACGTAATAAATGAGTACAGTATATGCATATAATCATGGGAAGTGGAGGAAAGGTGAAAAATATGTCCCTGCATAAAATCACAACATTGTATTACTTTCGAAACATGGGAGTATAATTAATTCAAAATTTTTAAGCATTCACTGGTCGCGGGCGTGTGCCTTGTCCCCAAAAAGTAAAATACATTTTTTTTTTTTATTTAACCGTGTTTATCTTCAAAAGAAACAATAATTTTGTATCTTCGATTTGAACGTAGTAAGTATTTTAACTTACATTAACTATTAAATAAACAAAAGTATAAATTCTAACATTTACTGACTGATAAAAGAAAATTTCTCTTGTATTGGTTAATAAAAATGTTCTTTGTTTCTGTTTCATGTTAAGATAACGTTGAAAATCGTTTTTTAAAAAAAATGTCATTTATTGGTTTTACTCATTACGACGTGGGTAGACAGTTTGTGTCATTCTATTAAGAAAATTGAGGGATAAAATTTTTTCCAACAAAATGCCGAGTTTAAGGAAAAAAGTTGTGGGATTTATGCGTCAATTATCGATAAGCAATTTGACAGCTGCCGTTGAAAGTATCGGCCAAGGGGACCATCAAAATTTACAATATCCAAAAACAACACAACAAGAACTCGTGGGAGGTTGCTTTATTTCACGTTACTTAAACGGGTGAGTTACCATATTATTTAGCAATCAGCAGAATGCTTTGATTGATTGCTCTTTATTCTGTTATTTTGATTTAGCTCGTCACGTACGATGTGCTCATATTTTTTTATTAGGACAATCTGATACATAAATTGACAATTGCTTCATATGACAAATAGAATTTATTTTCTTATTACTTTTTTTTTCAATTTTAAACATACAATAATGTGAGCTTGTAAAACAAAATTAAAAATTGTTTTCAATATTTATAAAGATATTTTAGATATTTATTACTTTTTTATTAATTATCAAATTTTTAAAACAATAAATGTTTAGATTGGAAAAGAAACAAGAGGGACCACCAATCATACATGGTCGAAGTCCCGAAGAACTTCCTACGAAACCCCTAGGAGATTATGATAAAAACGAAAAGGAATTCGCTGCCATAACAGGTCCTGATCGGGGACTTACAACAGTCAATTTAAAACAAAAACATTTAAGCATCAGTGATCCGGATGTGGATTATATTGACATCTTGGATCAACCTGACCAAAATGGATCCGGTAAATTTTATAAAATTAGTTATTTTTTTAATAATTATTTCGTTAAATGACGTGAAATTAAATTTTTTTCTTCGTTCATTTTTCTTAAAGTTTCGATATTTAAAAATGATTTAATTTTATTTAAAACTTGAAATTATTTTTAACAATAAAAAATAATTCTGATAGAAAATAATAGAATATTCTCCTTGAATTTATTTCAAAAGAATATTTTTATGTTATTTCTATAAAGAAGTGTTTTATTCCATTATCAATATTATATTACAATGAAATATAATATATTACATAATTTTAATAAATATATTTGAAAAATTTCAAATATCAAGTTCCATAAAATACATTAAACATAAATGACAACACACACACACGGGATCAAATATTTTTCATAGGCCACGATCGATGGCGAACCTTACGTTCTACGGACTCTTCAATTTATCCGATTGACAACAGTCGTGTGAAGATAAGAGCAGCCGGTAAACTTTATGAGCCTGCACCAAAGCATTTACAACAGACAAATCTCATAAAAAATAAAATTTATTTTAAAGAGTACAAACCAAATTCACTTGATCTCGATAGTGATTCAGATGAAAGACATAATAATTCATTAAGTAATAATTATGAACAAGTGGACAATCAAAAGACATCTAATTTATTAGATGAAACTTTAAAAGATAATATCAATTTTCCACTAAGAAACAATGTGCAATTTCAATGTGATGATGAAATACAAGGTCAATCGGGGGAAAATTTCGAAACTAAAATTGAACAAAAAGTTGAGGATTCTTATAAGGATGGATTAAATTGTAATTTAAGTGGACGAGAAGTACATTTTACATTGCAGAATATGTCAAATGATACACTTAATAGTTCAAGTGAAGGAGATTTGGGATGTAATATAATACCACCGCCTTCAGAATTTGCCACTGAAATGAATCCTCTCAGAAAATCAAAAAGTGCACCGGCTCCATTTAAGAAATTTAATAAAGGTTCTCTTGCATTTCTGTTACGATCTCATCGTTTTTTGCCTCAAGATCTGTTGTTTCTGATTGCTATATTTTTTCGCAAAAAAAAAAAAATGGGCAGCACTGTTATTGTATTTTCTTTGCTTTTTAAAAATTTAACATTTTTTTTTTTAAATATTTATTATTTGATTCTCAGTTGAAAAATATTCTTGTGGTAATACTATCAATCTGTGATTTTACAGTAGAAGGTTTTGCATTATATTACAGCTATTATTTAGCTTGAGTTATAGACTTTATTGAACTTGATATCGGCTATTGTGTAGATAGCTTTTAATATTATTTTTTTTTAAAAGCACGTGCATGAGTTCGTGAATATTCGGACTAAATCTACAAAAGTTCTAAATGGATCTTAATTTTTCAAAACTCGGAGAATTTGCACTTTTTCTTTTTGTAGAATCTATTCTATCTATTAAATACTATTATCTATAATCTATCAAATTTGTTTTTGATCTATCGAACAGTGTATAGTTATAATCAGTAAAAATAGTTTATTTGTTTTCAGCTTACTGGATAAAATAATGTATTTTTGGTTTGATTTTATATTGCATGTAAACGATTTGATTTTGTTTGCTAACGACAAGAATTTATTTTTTAATAATTAATGGATTTTTTTAAGGTATGGCTTCTGATGGAGAAATTGCTGGTGTGTCTGATTGGTTTAATTCACACGATATGGCTTATGGAATAGCGACTACTCTTTATGAAAAAAATCCGACTAATGATTGTAATAATGGAGAACCAATAGCTGATTGTTTTGGTATGATTGCTCGACCTAACGCTGCTATTCTTGCATTAGCCGATGGAGTCAATTGGGGTAAATATTTTCTTTTTTGGTAGAATATTTTTTTTAAATATTAATTTTAATTTTATTTACAAGTCACATTATTTTTTTTTAAGGACCAAAAGCTAGTATTGCGGCACGATCAGCTGTTCACGGGAGTATTGAGTACTTGAATAAAGCACTTTTCTCATCGGCGATAAATAGTGGTGTGACAACGACTAGAGATGTGTTTATCGCTTTACTTCAATCATTCCATGCAGCGCATTCGCTGATTCTCGAGGAGCAAGGCATGCTGACAACTCTCACTGTTTGTGTTGTTTTGCCACTACCAAGAACTGCTTCCGGCTCTAATTCTTCAGTTAAAAAATACGTTGCCTGTACTTGCAATGTTGGGGATAGTCTTGCTTATGTTTACTCGAGGTAAAAAAAACTGGATTTAATTTGAAAAAAAGAATTGTTATCAAAATATTTATTATTTTAATTATGTAAATTAATTTATGAGAACTAATAAATAACATTTTTCAAATAGGAAAACCGGAGTGAGAGAAATAACGCGCGGTTGCCGAGATATTCATTGCATGCGGGACATGCGTGACGCTCTCGGAGCACTGGGTCCGGTTGCTGGTTGTAATCCTGAATTGAAGAATTTAACATTGTCAATGACCGAGGTGGAACAAGGTGATATCGTTTTTCTAACGAGTGATGGAATATCGGATAATTTTGATCCAGTGGTGGGTAAATTTGCCGTTTTGCCAAGCAATAATGGTGTCAGTTTTAATGCCGATCGATCGGCAAAAGCCGATGGTCGACAGAAAGCGCGACGTAAATCGGTGGATCATTCGCAAAGAGCTGAAAGTGAAATTAATAGCGATTTACCAGTCGTCGAAGCATATCAGAGGCATGAATTAACATTATTGAGAATGGAGGATCTTTTGAAAAGAGGAGTTTCCGGTGAAGGGCCACCTTGTAATAGCGCTAAACGATTGTGTGAACTTGTTTTAGATTTCTCGGTAATTTGGAATTTTTTTTGTTAATTTAATATTAATTTAAAAGAAGAAACAAAGAATAAAGAATTAATTTTTTTTCAAGGTTCGCATAACTGCTGCTAAACGACGAATTTTGGAGGACATTGATTTGTACTACGCACAACAAAAGAGCGGTGAATTGGTACCACTCACAAAAACAGAGCAGAAAATTCGTCGTCGCAAAACAATAGATAAGATTTCAATGGTGCCAGGAAAGTTGGATCATGCGACTGTAGTTGCATACATGGTTGGATCCTACAAATTTGACTAATCATTAGTTACGTACGCCAAATGTTTTTTTTTTTTTCACCCAAATGTTTTATTTTCCTCAACGTTTAGGAAAAGCCAGAAAGAAATTATTATTATATATCTTTACGATTTTTGTAAGTTTTTTATAAAAACTTGTTTTTTTATACTAGATGGAAACGGGAAAAATAACAATTTTTTCTATTTGTTAAGTTTTGTATTTTAGTTGTTACTTTTTTTTTGTATTAACAACGTGATTTGTTTCCTCTTAGTTGAGGACTTTTTATTCTCAAATAGTTGAAATAACTATAGTTGACGTCCCACTAAATAAATGTATTTTCATAAATACATTGTCAGCATTAAATTTGTGATTGATAAGTAATCAAAGCAGGCTTTTGAAGATTTAAATAATCTATATTTCCAATGTTAAATGGAAAGAAAAGACAAAAAAGTCGCTAGTGACTAAGTGTATTTTAAAATAAATTCTACTTGCAGAATTAAAATGAAAATTGTAGAACCTTTGAATTCTGAAAAATCTATCAAAAATATTACTGGCCTAATTTGCGATTAAATTTAAAAAGATAATAATCCAATTTCAGAAATCAAAGGTTATTCGATAATATTTTAACAAGAGTAGAAATTCGTCGCTTTTCTCAGGAATAGAAAACCAATAAGAGAACAGCCAAAAAAAGAAAATTATAAAAGGAAAAATATATTGTAGAAAAAACAAGAATAATACTGGTAAATTCAACAATAGCAATGAACAAAATTAAAATATTCAAAGACAATTACTCGGTGGATTTGATTAAAATCTAGATTTAAAAAAAGTGATAAAGACTTCAATTTCAAACAAAACAAATTCATTAATACTGCCATAGTGCTCAACACAATTCAATATATGAAGATTTCCACTTTTAGATGAGATTGTAGTAAAAATATTCAGAGAGATTTCACAAAAAAAATTAATAAATAAAGTATTTTACAAGTGGTAAATCTTTCGGTCCAATATGTAGTATTAATATATAAAGTTCCTTTTTTGTTTTTATAAATGTTAACAATATAGTTTTAAATATAATGAGATAAACTTATTTTAATTTGTATATAATAAAGAAATTCTAATTGAATTTTGCCTGGTGAAAAATTCAAAAACAAAATATATAAAAAAGAAAAGAGAAATTTAAATTTGAATTCATGAGAAGTAAAGAATTTTTAAAAATTACTATTTTTTCGACAAATTATTTATGAATATATTATAAATAACAATGTTAATTTTTCGTCAGGAAAAATTGTTCACGTGCTATAATCTTGTGGTTTTGTAGTATTTTGTTGTCGCTAGTATTCTATATTTTTTATGCATATAAAATGTATTAGTATAAAAATTTATGTAATACAATAAAAAAAATATAATATTTGATAAATAAATTTTAATCCACTTAAAATTGTGCTTAATTTTATTAAAGTAATCCATTTTTTAAAATATAAAAGTTAGAAGCGGAATTAAAATTTTTTTAAATAAAATAGATTTTATAAAAAAAATTATTTTAAAAATATATAATTTTTGGCGGGTTAATTTATGAAAAATTATAATTACCTGGAAACCATGATCCAAACATAACCTCAAATAAACTTTTCATTAAAGTTTATTAGTCTTTATAAACAAGAAATCTAAATAAATATCAACACAATAACTAACAAAGTTTTTCTTTAAAAATTGCTCACTATACTAAAATTAATTACAACTTGAAATATCTTAATTAAACATTCGGATTTATAATTGTTGACACTGTTGACATTTAAAAAACTTTAAATTTTCTTCAGATGGCACCAGTTGCACATCAGGGTGGGCAACATTAAAAACTTTTCTCTTATTTTCCATTGGTTTTATCAAATCAATCCAGCCAATGAAATTCTATAAGTAATTGAGAACAAAAATCATACAGTTGGCAGCATTGTTTAAAATAATGTTGACAGTGCAGTTCAGTTTAGTTGACAATGTAGTTTTACTGAAAACAATCTCTTATTTTCTGATTTATAATTTTATTATTTTATGTGTTTAACTTTTTTTTGCTAATTCAGCTATTTTTTAACATTTTTGATTCCTGATGAGGGAAAATTAAAATTTTTTGGAGAAATGAATGAAGAAAGTAAATATTTTTTTTCAATTTGATTCAATTGTTTTTATTGTTATTTTTTTTAAAGTAATAAATAATATTTTCATTAATAATGTGTATAAATTAATTGTATTGCAGGACTTTTGAAGAGAAAGCAACGCGCTTTGCGAGAAAATAATTCTAGTCAATTGAAGGAAATTTTAAAAAATCTTGGTGACTTGTATTTTGAACAAGGAGAGTATAATAATGCCTTGGAACAATATCGAGAACAAGTTGAAATTTGTGAAGATAATAATAAATTAGATTGGGCTATTGCACATCGTATGATAGGGGAAATATATGCTAACTTAGGAAACTATCAAGAGGCTCTGTATCATCAAAATTTACATCTAGGTAATTAATACTATATCACTTTCTTAATCATTTGATATTTTCTGAAATTAATATTAGAACCTTTATATATTAAAATAAATTTTTTTTCTTAATAGATGGAGCAAGAGAGCTTAAAAATCTTGTTGAAGAGCAAAGAGCTTTTGCTACTTTAGGAAGAACATTTTTTTGTTTAGCTGAAAGTTTAACAGACAAATTAGATGAGAAAGAAGAAGCGCTTAAAAATGCCGAGAAGGCGTACAGAAAAAGTATTCGCGTTTGTACAAAGTAAATCATCTTTTTTATTAATGTCAAATTAATAATTAATTTTCTCTTATATCTTGTAAAAAAAATATTATAATTTTTATAATAAAAAAAATTTACGTTACAGGTTAGAAGGGAGTGTAAAAGAAGAAGAAATATGTACGATGCGAGCTAGATTATTATTGAATCTTGGTCTTGTTCGAGAAGCTCAAAATGAACCACGTGAAGGCTTAAAACAATTAGAATCAGCAGCTTCTTTATGCAGAGAACATAATTTAACGGAAGATTTACATCGAACACACATTGCATTAGGTTCTTTTCATGAAAGGCAGGCAAATTATGAATTAGCCTTGGAATTCTATGAAAAATCAACGAATGTGAATAATAATTCAATGAAAGCCGATGCTTATTTAGCAAAAGCCGAATTACTTTTGAAATTAGGAGAATGGATGGAAGCTCGAAAACCTTTAGTGAATCTTTATGTAATGAAAAATTTACCTACTGAAATCCGAGAATATTCTAACAAACTATTTCGAATAGGTAAGTTAATTTTATAATGAACATTAAATTTTTACATTATTACATGAAAAGTTAATATTTGGAATATAATTTTGTTTCCAGTTGTAACGATTTGTAATGCAGAGGACAATTTACTTGTTGAGATGGATATAGAGAAAAAACAAAATATCTACGAAAATTTGGGAGATGCTGCAGTTGAGGTGAAAGCCTATGAAAAAGCAATAAATTATTATGGTAAAATGCTTATGTATGCGGAAGAATGTCGTAGTGAAAAAATTGGAGCAGCTCTAGTTAGTTTAGCCCAAACATTAAAAGATGTGGGACGTAGTGTAGAAGCACTAACATACGCAAGACGTGAACTTCTTCTACATAAAGATCAAAAAAATATTTGTCGATCAACATTAGAGCTTGCTGCACTTATGGTAACGGCAAAATCTTCCGATATTGAAATACGAGAGCAATTTAATCAGGCATTGTCAGTGGCTAAAGAAATAAATGACATAAAACTAGAAATATCGGTATTGACAGAATTTTCCAATTATTTGGAGAATATTAATGAAAAATCTTTAGAAACCGAAAATATACAATTGAGATTAAAAAAATTAACTGAAATTAACGAAATAGAAACAGATGAGGAAGATGAAGAATTAAAAAGTCAATGTATCGGTGATGATATTTGTCTAGATGAATTGTCCGATGTTGAGGAAGCATTACATAAAATTGACGATATTCAAAAGCCAAGAAGAACATTTAATCGAGGTTTTGTTGTGAAAAGAAATGAAAAAGGTGAAACACCATTGCAAATTGCTTGCATTAAAAATGACATTGAAACAGTGGAGAAATTATTATCAAAAGGACATCCAATTCATGTGCGGGATTCTTTTGGATGGACACCACTTCATGAGGCAGCGAATCATGATTTTGTTGAAATTGCAAAAATTTTAATAAAAAATGGCGCAAAAATTGACGATACTGGTGGACCACAATGCAATGGTTTAACTCCACTTTTAGACGCCGCTTTTAATGGAAATTTTTCTGTTATGTATTTTCTACTTGAGAACGGTGCTAATATTAACGCAAAAACTACAGATGATGAGACTATACTTGATTTATTAGAAAATTGGAAAAATCGCGTTGGCAAATTATCAAGTGAAGTTCAAATGGAATATGATCATGCATTTGCAAAATTACTTTCTCTAGTGACAGTTACTTCGAAAAATCGTAAAAAATCTACACCACAAAGAAATAAAATGTGGGTTGACGACGATGAACCAGAAAAAATCACGAATGAAAAAAAATCACCAATTGAAAAAATTTCCGCCGGAGAGGATTATAAAAGAACAATAGCAAGTTTAAAGCATAGAGGTGGATTGAGTACATCGAAAAATTTAGCGAAACAACAAAAAGTCACAGCACCACTTTTGGATTCGGAAGAAATTCTTGTTGACGATTGGCTCGAGAACGATATCCTTCCAGCGACTACAACAGCTAAAAAATCAATAGAATCAACATCATTTTCAAAAAGAAATTCCGTTGAATCAAATTCAAGTATTAAAAGAAATTCCACAGATTCTTTAAATGTTAAACGACATTCCTCTGACTCGGCAAACATTAAAAGAAATTCTTTTGATTCTTCAAATTTAAAACAAAATGATTCAACAAATAAAATTAAAAGAAAACTTTCTGTTGATTCCGATGTGGATATGGATACAAATAGTCGCGATAGTTTGGAAAGTAATGATTCTTTGGTTTCAGAATTTCCAAAGAGAAAAAAGAAAGCCAGACAATCGTCACTGTTGAAAAATGGATTCACTAAAGATACAAATTCTCGTACACCATCGCCAATTTTTTTAGATTCCTCGAATTATTTGATAAAACAATTGCCCGCTTGTATAACAATGAATTTTTCCGTTTTAATTGATTATGATATTTATAATGCGACAATAACATTTCTTAGCGATCGACAAAGTGTTCTGGAGAATTTAATGGAGGAAGTGAAAAATAAATTTGAAAAAGAGACAGGATGTAAGGCAAAATTGAGAATTTCCACTTGGGAGGGAGTTGAACTCTCATCCGAAGTGACGCCAAATTTTTTACTACGATCTGGCGATCCAGTTAAATTAAAAGGAGATATAATTGATTTATACACACCAGGAATAGTAGAAAGATACAAAAGTATTTGTGAAAATAATAAAATAAGTAAGTAATTTTTAATTATTTAAATTAGTAATTCTTTTATTGGTTTTAGGATGTTTAATAATTTATTTTTTCATATTTTAGATGTTCAAGAGATGACAATTAAATCACTTAAAGTATGTTCAAATTCCTCGACATTTCGATTAAATAAAGATACTTTAGATGAAGAAATTCCACCGTTAATAAAAAGTTTACAGTATGAAAAAAATCTCCAAACTTTACAATTAACAGGTGGATCATTATTTAATCAAGGAAAATTATTAAATTTATCATTTAAAAGAATGTCATCTTTGTATGAATTACATTTACAAAATTGTGATTTTGATAATGAAATTTTATCGCAAATTGATCAATTTCCACAACAATTGAGAATATTGAATCTCAGCTATAATCCACTGGGTTTTAAGAGTCAAGAAAAATTATTTAAATTACTTGAACCTTTGAGAAATCTTCAAAATCTCAATTTACGCTTTTGTAAATTACAAGATATTCAATTTACTCTCACGATAGATGCACTCGAAACACTGGATGTATCATGGAATGCACTTGGTGGTGATGGTATAAGTCATCTTTTACAACGTCAAATGCTTGGTTTAACACTTTCCAATACTCAAAGTCCATGTAGTGGTAATTTTGTCAGCAAAATTATAAATAATCCAAAATATTCTCTTTTTGCATTAGAGAATTTAGAATTATCTTCTTGTAAAATAAATGATGCCGACGTAAGAAGAATTTTAAATGAAACGCCAAATCTTTCGAAATTTGTCTTAAGTGGCAATAAGGATATTACAAAAATGTCAGTGAATGCTCTCTTAAAACGACAACCGAGTTTATTTTATATTGACGTTGGGGGTTGTACAAAAATTGTTGATGTACCATCAATTGACGTGACAATAATGACTCCAGAAGTTTGCACGTTAATAATCAGTATGACTGAAAATGTGATAGATGCGTGGGAAACTTTATGGAGGGGTAGAGGTTTTTCTAGTAAATTACCTCACAACATTGTTATATTTAAGCCTGTGTAATTTATATATTTTTTTATTAATTAGTTTCTGTACAGATATTAATTTATATCACACACTTGATTATTTCGATCTAAGTTTAAATGTATATAATTTATTTCCAATTTTACAGTGTAACTCATTGACCTCTATGAAACTATCCTCAATATTATCAAAGAAAAATGTTTTTAATAATACCGACAAAGAGGGAAGAAGTTTTTTTAATCGCTCTTCTTGATCACCGAGACTCCACAAAAAACTGATGTGATACGATGCTTCCTTTAAAAATAAAATAGTTTTTTAATTTTTTAACTAATTAACTGGATTTGTAGACTTTTAAATTAATTGAAAATTTAAATTAATTTTACCTCATAAAAACAGGGTAATTGATACTCGTTTAATAATTTATTTAAAGTTTCTGTTACATTATTTAAGGCCTCATTGTTTTCGCAAGTAATTCCAAGAAAAGTTCGAGTTCTATCGTCATTGCAATAAACTTTAATATCTTTTAATTCAACTGGAAAATTATTTAAATTCTTGCACACATCCTTGAGTCCTTCGACAAAAGAATCAATCCAGTGAAATTTCAGTGCAACGGTACGTGTTAAACTTATATGAAATTCTTCAAATAGTTTTCCGTCTTCGATAACAACATTTTCCATCCAGGAATAAAGAGCCTTACTTGGCTTACCTAAAGATTGTCAAAATTTATCTTAATTTGGAAAGAGAAATTTATAAAATTATTGAAGAAGTTGATTAAAGTTTAAAAAAAAAAATATAATTACATAAAATATAAACAAGAGTTGCCCAATTTCCACGCTCGTGTTTGAAAGATCTTATTCTACCCTCATGTAAAGAAGGATCATCTTCAATTTCCTCGTGATGTTTAACTCCCTTCCATGATAATATACTTTGAGGTACTGGTAACCTTCACATTGTAAGTAAATATATTTTCTTTATTTTTTTAATCCAAAAATTAGTTTCGAAGAGGTTTTTTTAAATTATTTGAAAATTACTAACCTATTAGAGTTCACTTTTTGCGGACTAAATTTCTCATCTTCCGTGTCAGAAGAATATTCTCCAATTAAACTCAAAGCAGACATGATAAATCTTATACCAATTAATTCTGTACATTACTTTGAGTAGAAAAATATTCACTATTTACATAATTAAAGGGAAGAAATCAAATATTTACGTTTTCTCTACAATGTTTACAAAAACATAACCTTAATTTTCATCTGTCAAAATTTGCGCAAGCGTATAGAATTGGAAACCGGGAAAATTTTAAATTTCTCTTAACAGAATTAAAATATTAAATTAATTAACATTAGAATTTTATGCTTAATTAATTTATATAATTGAAAAAAAAACAAAATACATCTAAAAATAAAACATTTGAGTATTTTTTTTTTATTTTTTAAATTTATTTAACTGAAATTAATTATACAAGCAGAAAAAGATTCGACTTTTTTTTATAATATTGATAAATTTTAACATAATTCTACACGAATAATTTTTATAACTTAAATTTTTCCTGGAAATCTATTCTCAGCGATTTGTGTATCAAATCTTTCAATCCAAGCATTTGGACACATGATTTGGTAATCCTTCTTGAATTTTTTACAAAGGTCATTTCCTTTACCCTTCTTTTTTTCGCAACGATGAAAATCAACATAATGCTGGTAACAATGCCTGTTAGATTATTAAATTAACTTAAATTAATTAATTACATTAAAAATGTATCTAAAAAAATAATTAATAGAAATTTGTACAAACGTCAATAAAAATTTAGCTTATTTTTTACAATTAAAACAATTACTTTTTAATACGATAATTACTTATTCATTAAATTTCTTTTTTTTTTGTAAAAAAAACGTTAGAAACGATTCAAAGAAATAAAAGCAAAGTTAATTTTTCTCTCTATGATAAAAAAATGAAAATAAATTATAATTTACCTAGTTTGATTTTGATTAGGAAATCTTGGATCGGCTTGAGTTGTTCTGTATGATCCTTTCAGCATTTCACGCTTAACAGCTGCATTATCAATAACCATCTTGATAGAGTATTGCTTAAAAAATATTCATTTAATATTATTTATAAAATTATCAAAGAAAAAGAAAATAGACGTCTTTCCCAAATATAAAAATATCTCACAAAATAATTGGAATTCTTCATAGTTTAAAATTCATAAAAAAAAATAATAATAATAATCGAATCTCTTTCTCAGTCTCTCTCGCTCTAATTCAGTTTTTTCTTCTCTTCACATATAACACTAACACCGATATTTCATCAAGTTATTTTTATTTCGTCTCTATGTATCTAACAAAACAAAACAAAAAATCTTTTAACGTATTAAAACACTATTTATATAATAAAATTAAAAAAAAGTCGAAAGTGTTCTTTACACAAGTTTAAAATGTTGAAGGGAAAAAATGAAAAAAAAAAAGAAAAAAAAAAAAAAAGAAATGATCTATTTGACGAGAGGCCTCGTATTATCTTCTTCCTGACAGCAAACTTCTCGATATTTTTTCACCTCCGCCATATACAAAGACCATGCATCTTTTGGTTGTTCGGCGACCTGTTCAACCTTTGGTTTTGCCACCATTCCTGTCTTTAAAATTCGTCCACCTCTTCGTTTGCCAACCATTAATGGAGGTGGTGCAACTGGTTTCTCTTCCAGGACGGATGTAGTTGGTTTTTCAGGCACTGGCATTTGTTCTTGCATTTTTTTAAACATTTCCATAAAACTACCATCATTTTTGAATGCATTTGGCGGTGGTACATTAACCATGGAAAATGATGATGATTCCATTTGCTCGTCATTTAGTTCACAATCATATGTTCTTTGTTTACGAAGATTATCACCACGAAATTTTTGTCTATCACGACTCTTATTACGACTACGACTACGACGTTTATCACGTGATCTTGATCTACCGCGAGACCTCGTTCTACCACGTGATTTTGAACCACCACGTGAATGTGATCTACCACGGGATCTCGATCTACCACGCGATCTTGATCTTGATTTATCGCGTCTTGAATATTTTCTCATTCGTTCACGATCTCTATCTCTGTCATTGGAACGTGATCGTCGATATGTGCGAGATGATGTTGGCGATCTTGATGAACTACGTTTTCTTCGTCGCACTCTTTCTGGTGAATCCATTCTTGTGAATCGACTACTGCCGCCTCTGTATTCGGCTGGTGATGGTGATCTTCTTGACGATGATGATGATGATGTTGTTGTTGTTGTCATTCGACTTTTGCTTGGATCATATGAAGAATAACTTGAGATGTACATTGAAGGTGATGGAGGTACGGGCGATGCTTCGGGAATTGGCCTGGTCCCATAATCGTACCGTTGTTTTGAGTCCATCTTGCCAGTGCTGGATGAGAGCTCAAGGATGGCCGGTCAAGCTGAACGGACAGACACCTATAAGGATAGAAACTACCTTCTATAAGTACACAGTCCGAGATGAATTATTGTGCCGTTAATGATTGGACTTTTAATGTGCTTTCGCAATGACAATAATAATATTTAGACTTAGAGCGAGAGAATTTATAGCAATATATATATATTTTTTTTCTAATGATTTAATAATTCTCCAAGATAGTTTTTTTTACATTTGGGAAATATATGTTTAAAAACTTGGTTAAATTTTTTGGCACCTTTGGAAACAATTTTCAAATATTTGTTAGAATAGAACGTTTGATAATTGTTTTATCATAAATATTTTTTGATTTAATATTGTTTACCCAAAAGTGACAAATTTTTAGACACAAGTTTAACGGTTTAAGACAGAGATCGACGTTTTCAAAAATTTGAGAATCATTCGCAGTATATTCTTTTATCAGTATTTATTTTTAAATGCACATAAAATTGAAACTGGCGCCAAGTTAATTTTGAAAAAATTTATGTTAGCAATAACATAAATAAATTTAATAAAAATAACTTTAGTAATAAAATAATAACATAAATAAAGTAAATAGAGTTTTTTAAAACTTTATTTATGTTATTGCAAACATAAATATTTCATAATTAACTTGGAGCTGATAACTAGGTGCAAGTTTCAGTTTCATAAATGCACGTAATATTTCGTGAAAATTATATTATCTAGTTAGGCATCATTATACAAATATTTATATGTATAAAATATACAGAAATTTTTTTCAATATATAAAATAAAACAAATATTTCATTGACAATTTAAAAAAAAAAAAAATTGAAAAGAAAAAAACTAATAAAAAATACGAATTAAAGATATAAAAACAAAATAACCCAAATTGAAAATGTAAAAGGGGGACTTCATTAAAAAAAAAACTAATTGAAGATAGGTATATTTTTTAAAAATTAAATGAATGTTAGTGTTATCTCATCAGGAACAATAATATGATATCAAAAATGACAACTGATAAAGTGTTTTCTTTAATGAATGAAATGTTGTTAATATGAATAAATGAAGAATTTTTAAGCAGTGGATAGAATTTTAGATCAGATAATATTTTTGTAATAATTTCCTATTATGAATATCGCGGTCAATAAAGTAACACGAATTCTCGAAACAGAACGAAAGGCTTACCCCAAAAAATGTTAGCAAACTTTAAAGAACATTAAAAAAAAACTTCTAGTCTACATCTAGGTGATCGTTTGATTTCTTGGTAATTCTTGCGAGCCGTGTTGGCCGTTAAACTGTTCTAGAATTACGCAAATTATTTTTATATGTAATACCTTATTTTGCTCTCCTGAAGAATACAAAATGGCTACTGTACAAATCTATAGGAAAACGATGAAAATCTTGACGACTTGTTACGTCACAAATTGTCCATAAACTATTTATGAACAAGATGGACAACTACATTGTCCAAATCGAAATATATGTCAAAGAATAAAAGAATTCTTTTTTTTTACAATTTAATATTATTAAATATATTTAACAATTAATTACAGTGAATAGAAATTGTAATATATTTTTAAGTTATTAAAGTAATTTAATATAAAAATATTTTATTTATTTAAAAAATATGAATTATAAATTAAATTTTTGAATATTGTTAATATTTTCCCGCCACAAAAGAAAATTATTTTAAATATCAATGGCCACAGACAGTTGGTTGATTACGTTTTATTTTTAAGTTATTTTTAAGTGAGAGTAACAAAATTTAGACAAATTTGACGTGTTCTTGATAAGAATAATGTAAACAGGATTTCTTTCTAAAAATTTTTCATCAAAAAAAGAAGAATACAAGTAGTTTTGGTTAGTTATTTTTAATATGTTTATCTCATGTTTATTTTTATAATAACTTACATCTGTCAAAAAATAGTTGTTTCTAAATTGTCAGTTTTTACTTTTTAGTACTTTTTATAAATTCGTATAAATTAATAAGCATTTAATTTTAAACTTTACGCGTTTACTACTGAAAATTTTTGTGTTATTTGTATTAATGTATTTTCGAGGTTAGGTCTGGTTTATTTCCAAAGAACAGTCAATTTATTTGGGTATTTTCAGAGAATTTGTTCATTATATCGATGTGTAGAAGGAAATAATTTGAATGTTACCAATATCAAAAATATTCTCTACAAATAATATAATGTTTTTTGTTAAATATTAAATTATGAAAAGTATTTTGTTTCAGGTGATTGATAAGTTGTCAAGTAATTTTGAGAAATTAAATTCTTTTATTTTTTAGATTTATCAAATGGTATACTATAAATAAGTATAAGTAAAATGGCAATGGCAATGCGGAAACGAAGTGGTTCGGGATCAAAAAGACAGCATAAAGGGAAGCTGGTTCCAATTTATGAAAGCTTCTTCAAGGGAGAGGATTTAACATCGGCTCATCCAAATTTTTGGAATGAATTATTTCTTATCAAGCCAATGGTTAGTAATTTAATGTTAATAATATTGTAAAAAGTTTTTTGAATTTCTATATGACTATTAAAAATTATGTTTATTTACAGGTTTCTCATATTGAAAATGAAATACTACACATGACAGCTGAACAATTAAGTGCAAGTCGAGAGAATTTGAATTCTCTAGTAAGTCATTGCGTGGATACATTAGTTGATGAACATCCATTTCGAGTTGTATACGCACTTCAAACTTTGGCTGCAGTTATACAATCCATGTATAAAAAAGCAAGTCAAAGTGAATTTGGTTTTAATTTGATAGATATTTTAGTAGGTTTTGACTCTGCTGAACAAAGAATGACAACTTTGATGCAACACTGCAACAATTTTCTTACAGGTGAAAATAATTTTCAATTTACTGTTTTTTTAAAAATCAAATTGCTTCGATCACTAATTCTTTTTATTTTTTAGGCGAATATCCTGATAGTTTAAAGGCATTATGTTTAAAACTTTTGTTAATTATTGTTACTGGAATGGATAATGTGAGCCAAAATACTCTTTTGGAGTATGTCATGCTAAATAGTGTCTTTGAATCACTTATTCAAGTTAGTAATTTATTTTGATTATTTAGTTAATTGACATGTTAGTAGACAATTATTTTATAAAATTATGTTTGACTTATTTACATGATTAATTGGTTTAATATTCCTTTTAGTTACTGAGAGATACTACGGCGAGGAATCGTCATGGAAATGATGCCGTTTTACTTCTCACGCTTTTGGTAAATTACAGAAAACACGAGAGCGCAAATCCTTATATTGTCAAACTTTCAATTTTAGATGATGAACTTGCTCTTAATGGATATGGACAAGTTATATCGAGTTCATTAACTGAATTTTGTCGTCAATTTTCACAACAGAAAGCTGGTAAGTGTTTTTGAATTTTAAGATACAAAATTGTTTTTTTGATAGAAATGTTAATTATAGATATGATTAAATAATTCGGATTTATTTTTTTACAGAGGTACAGGCCTCCTGGCTTTCATCTTTGACAAGCATTGTTGGGAATATGTTTGTTGGAGAAGAAGAAGCAAAAACCCAACAAGTTCGTGCGAATAATGCATTACTTTTAGCTTTGTATGAAGCTACACATCTTAATAGAAATTTCGTAACAACTTTGGCGTATACACAAACTGATACTAGTGCTCCTCCTTCTCCAAATAATACATTGGGACCAAATGCAACTGCACCTGGTGCTAATCATCCGGATGTAATGGCTCAACCTTTTAATTTACTAGCAACCTTTCTTCAATACTGGTAATTTTTATTTAATATTTGTAGTTTATAAAATTTAATTATTATTAATTATATAATTTTTTTCTTTTCTTTCAGTTCAATAGTTATGCAGGCAATCAGAACAGAAGCCATAACGAATAATGTGAAACTTTGCTTTTTAATATTAAGCTGCATTTCTGAAGATCAATATGCAAATAGTTTAATGCACGATGCAAATTTATCATTTAAAGTCTATTTGCATAGAATGCCGATGCATCATAGAAAAATTCAGGATAAAGCTGCACCAACACAACCATTAGCAGCAACACTTTTAGGTAATTGTTATTAAGATTAAATTGTCAATATTGGAAATTCAAATGATTTTGATCGTATTTTTGATATTATTTAGATTTACTTGTTGAATTTATTACTTCACATATGATGAAGAAATTTCCTTTGGAATTGTATCATCTTTGCATTGGTGTTTTGCAAAGATTGTTGTGTTATCAGAAACGTTGTAGAATAAGACTCGGATATCAGTGGAAGGATTTATGGACTGCTTTAATAAATCTCTTAAAATTTCTGACAACACATGAGAATCATTTGGTTAAGAAAATGAATATTTTTCCACTTGCTATTCAAGTAGGTTGTTAATTAATTTTTAAATTTTTATTTTAATGTAAAATTTTAAATGTTATAATTTATTTTCTTTAGGTTGTTAATATTTTGAATTTATTTATCACTTATGGAGATACATTTTTATCAAGCCCCAGTAGTTATGATGAATTATTTTACGAAATTATTAGAATGAGATTAATATTTACGAATTTGAATGCTATGGGTAAGAATCGATTTTCAATAATTATTCACATTTCTATGATTGCTTTCGTCATCATGTATTTAATTTTTATGTTATCAGCTCTCAGGTTTTCGACTACTGAGTCGTATGAATATAAAGAACACGCACTTAAATTGACAAATTCATTAGTTAATATGAGGGATATTGTTAATCATTTTCCACCAAAAATATCCGCATGGTTGCAAAGCGAGAGTTTATCAACACCAACGGAACAACAAATTTTAGGTGTTATTATACAAAACTATGATAGTCTTACACTTAAACTACAGGACAATTTAGATCAATATGAGAGGTATTCGGAAAAACCTAATCACACGGCCTTTTTTGAAGAAATGGTAAGTTTTTAAAGTATATAATTTAAAAAAAAATATGTTAATAATTTCTGTTAAACAAAATTTGATAATTAATTTTTCAGGTAACGGGTGTTGTAATTGATACCCGAGGTTCTATTGATCTTACAACGCTAGATACGCAAGCAATTTTACAAGAGCTTTCTAATATTTCGTAACATATTCCAATAAATTCAATGCCTCATCCAAAAAGAAATATAGCGTCTTAATACTTTTTATTAGAAAGGATGTCTAATATATAAGGTATGCTTCTTTCAAGTATTATTATTAATACTTGAAGTAATTATTATTTATCCAGAAAACAATTGCAATTTAAAAGAAACAAACTTTTACTTAAAGTTAAAAGTTGTGAAATTTTTTTTAAATATATTTTTGACGATTATGTCTCGTTTTTTTTGCGGGATTTCGTTTAATTGTCAAGATATTCTTGACAATTTAAACTCAAGTTTATCTTACATCAGTTTGCTTTTTTTTTTGTTAAAATTTTACATATATATATATTTACATAAAATTAATTAAGACAAATATTAATTATTTTTATTATTAATTAAGAAATATTTGTATACGTCTTGAATAATAATGAAAACTTTTTTATGATAAATTATTTTCATTGAAAAATTGTCAATAAATCATAATAATATGTTACCAGAAGATTTATTACAATATTAATTAAAAAACTTTATAAAAATATTAACAATTTTTTTTCTAATGTTAAAACAGTAATAATATTTTAATTAAAAAATGTCATTGGTCCCCAGATAAAAATTCAATTTCCTTTAGAACTAACAGTTTTATCATACACAAGCGTTTGTTTTTTTTACTTTAGATAGTAGAGCATTTCCAACTTTGGATTGATTCTTTCTTTCCAATTGATTGCTAATAAAATCTCCGACTTTGGCCACTTTTTCTAGATTAATTCCCGTTTCAAGGCCTTGTTCATTTAGAAAATAAAGTACATCTTCAGTGGCAACATTACCGGAGGCACCTTCAGCATATGGACAACCACCAAGACCGGCGACGGAAGAATCAAAGGTTCTTATTCCATAGTCGAGACCAGTGTAAATATTTCCAATAGCCTGACCATAAGTATCATGCAAATGAAGTGCAAATTTATTAAAATCTCCAATTTCTTTTATTTCATTTAAAAGTGATTTAATTTTTTTCGGTGTACCAACACCTATTGTGTCACCAAGAGATATTTCGTAACATCCAAGTTCTAATAATGCAGATGATAGGCTTGCAACTGAAAATGGTTTCATTGCACCTTCATATGGACATGCAATAATACATGAAACATATCCTCTTATTTTTAAATTATTTCTCTTCGCTAAATCAATGATTTCTTTCATTTTCAGCATATTCTCAGTTACCGAGCAATTTGTATTCTTACGTGAAAATGTTTCTGATGGAGAGCCAAAAATTGCTATTTCTTTTACGCCCACTTCAATTGCTTTCTCAAGTCCTTTTACATTTGGAACTAGAACTGGGTAATTAATGTTTTCATATTTTTTTATTTGTTTAAATACTTGTTCATTATCGGCCATTTGAGGAACCCATTTAGGTGAAACAAAACTCGTTACCTCGACGGTTTTTAGTCCAGTTTCTGAAAGTTTATTGATAAAATCTACTTTAATTGAGGTGGGAATAATTTTTTTTTCATTTTGTAATCCATCTCGTGGTCCAACTTCGATTATTTTAACAAAATCGCTATAATATTTATTATTTATTTTTTTCAAGAAAAAATTTCTAGCGATAAACATTATTTATTTTCAATTTTTTTCACTTGCATTTAATGATTTAGTAATGATATACAGTCTTGCTTTTTTTTCTTGATTATATATAATCTGCGAAAAATATTATTAGTCGGTTTTTTAATAACTATAGTAAATAAATATTTTTATTTTGATAAACATAACCTATACGGTACCTGATGAAGATAAAATCAGATGTTAAAATACCTTAAAAAAAATTTGAAATCTTTTTTAATGATGTGAGTAAGAAGTGTCTACACAAAGATAAATTTGGAACTGGTTAAAATTACTCTAAACTGTTAAATTAAGCAGTTTTTATCTGAGTGTACTAGATTATGATGTTTACCACCATTTATGTTATCAACATGTAAGCTACGCAATTGGTAGAGAAGATTTCTTTTTTAAAAAATTTAAAAGAATCGAAAAATAATTTCATGTAAAAAATATGTAAGCTTTTATTTTTTTAAACAAAAATATTTTCATTTTTTTTTATAAAAAATAATGCGTCAAATATAACTGTTATATATTGGATAATTATTCATTTATAACTATTTAAATTAACTTTTATTTATTTTCATCAGATAAAATGCAATGTACTTATCATTTTGCTGATTAAAAATAAATAAAAGATATTTAAAATATTTAATTTTTTAAATAAGCGCGCTATGTTTTAAAAATATTAGTTGGCACCACTGATCGGAAACCTCGATTCCTGATTGGCTAATAACTTTTGAAAATCTTAAAAGGGTTTCTAACATTTATTCTTAATTTAATTTTAACATACAATGATACTAAACTTTATGAATAATTCACATGCAAATATTAATTTTAATATTTTTTATTATGATAAAAGTAGCGTTTTCAGAATAATAATAAATTAAATTTTGATTTGGAACATTATTTCTTAATAAATTGTATTTCAAATATGCCTGTAGCGTTTTGACCAATGAGAACGTAGTACCGTGTGTCGAGTATTGGCAACACTGCCGGAAACCTATGTCTCGGCCATTTGCATGGCGAAAGTCAAAGGATAAGCAAGAGTTGTGATCCTCAACTCAAAAAAATGTAAGTTTATTGAAAATTATATTGTTATATGTACAATTTTGTTTATTTTTAACAAATTAATCGTTTATTTTTATCTTATAATGTTATGCATTTCGTAATAATTTAATTTTCATTGGTTTTTTCTTACGCATTTTTTCCTAACCTCAAAATTATTTGACTACCGTTTGCCGTATTTTAACAATTCAAGGAACTAAAATTGAAATGAATACTTGTTGAAAAGTGATATTAATCAATTTTAACATTAATTTATTATTCAATTATGGACTTTTATTGTTATGATCGGAATAAATTGGTAAATTTCTCCACGTGCTTTACAGCTGTAAATAAGAAATTGGCATTTCTATAGCAACGGATCCATGGGAAATATTTTGTTTGTTTTTAGAGTATTTTACAAATTTTAAACAAAATTTGTAAAAAGTTAAATTGGTATTAAAAATAATCCTTATATGGAGTTTTGCCGAAATTATATCTAAATTTATTTTAATTTGCTTCGAAACAGTTTTAATGCCGTTTCGAAGTGTATTATAATAAATTTAGACATAATTTAAGCATTATAATTCTGTATAAGTTTTGTTGAATATCAACCTAATATTCCAATTTAGCTTTTTATTAATTTATCTATTTGTCAGATAGTAGAAAGGAACAAAATGATCCTTGGATTCCTTGCTATCTTTTGTTTTAAAGTTAAAAATTTATACTACATGATATAATATTTTTACAGTTAATTAAAAATGGTGAACGGTAGAATACCGTCGGTCTTTTCTAAGACCTATGTCACTCCAAGACGTCCTTATGAGAAGGCCCGACTTGACCAAGAGTTGAGAATAATCGGTGAATATGGTCTCCGTAATAAGAGAGAAGTCTGGCGAGTTAAATACACGTTAGCAAAAATCAGGAAAGCAGCTCGTGAATTATTAACGCTTGAAGAAAAAGACCAAAAACGTCTTTTTGAAGGTAAGTAAATAATTTAAAATAAAAATATTAAAAATTTTAAATTAATATTAATTACAAATTGATACAGGTATAATTACATTAAAAATTTTCATTTAATTTTATAATTAATAAGTTATAAATTTTTTTTGCACAATTAAATATTTTGTTCAAAATTTGTTTCAAAATATGTATGTTTGTAATTATTTTTTCTATTATGATGATATTTACACTTGTATTTTCTGACACCTCTTGTCTGAATATTCTTGTTGAATCACATTAATCTGAAAAAAAAGTCTAAAATTTTTTTAATGATTTTGCCATGATATTTAAGAAAGAAAATTAATCGAAAGCTTTTCTTTTCAGGAAATGCGTTGTTGCGCCGATTGGTGAGAATCGGTGTACTAGATGAAACCCGAATGAAATTGGATTACGTTCTCGGTTTGAAGATTGAAGATTTCCTTGAACGGCGATTGCAAACCCAAGTTTTTAAGCTTGGATTGGCGAAATCAATTCATCATGCTCGTGTATTGATTAGGCAACGTCACATTAGGTATTTTACACTAATTAATAAATTAATATTTGATTTACGCCTTGTTGTACTGGGCAAGGAATATCTACAATTTAAGTAGATTGTTTCTAATCATCAAGGCAAAAGTAAATTCCTGTGTTAATCATCGATCAAAGATTGTTCTTTGTTCGACTTCAAATCAGGGGACAAAAATTTAGAAATATTTTTCTTTTTCGATTACTATTTAAATAATCTTACTTGTAAATTGTAAAATTTATTTATAATTTGGTCATTTTTGAAAATTTTTTTTTGAAAGAATGGTTTTTCTAAAGCACCAAAATAAGAGAAACAAATTTTCGGTTTTTATCATTTTTACTGATGAATTGTTCTCTCGTAATCAGGAGTTGAATGAAATGTTTTTTTTTGTGTTTTGTTTTCTAGAGTTAGGAAACAAGTTGTCAACATCCCAAGTTTCATTGTCAGACTTGACAGCCAAAAGCATATTGACTTCTCATTGAAGTCACCGTTCGGCGGTGGTCGCCCTGGACGTGTAAAGAGGAAGAATATGCGCAAGGGAACCGGTGGCGCAGCAGCTGAGGAGGAAGAAGATTAATTTTAAGATTGGAGGATTCTTTACAGAAGTTGAAGAATGTTCCAATAAAATCGCAAAAAGAAAATTTTACGTATGTCTTTTTCTAACAACAAAAATCATATCATTCCAATATCCAATTTTGCACATTTTCATAGTTTTTGTTGAAAGCAATTTTTTTTTTTTTTTCATGAAAATTCAGTAATGAAATTTTCAAAATATTTCATTTTTTTCTAACTTTTTAAAGTAATTTTTAAATTACAAGAATATTTCAGTCTAATTGAACATAATTGAAAATTAATGTTAATATTAATTTTTAATTATGATCAATTTCACAAAAACAAAAACTTGTCATTTTTTTTAAATGTTTATATTGGATATTCTTTTTTTTTTGGTTATTCAAATAAAATAAAAAGAATATATGTGATGAATATTCGGGTTTCTTTTATTTGAATAATCAAGAGAACATTGATAATTATTTTATAAATTTGCCATTTTTGTTTAGAATTTTTTATTTTCAGCTATAGTGAAATTTTTTAAATTATTTTTCGAAAATAATTGTGCATCCGAATTCCTTTCCTTAATTTCCATAAATCTCGAATGCTAATAGCTGTGGTTTTTAATTGAATTGCTATACAATTTTAGTGGTCGTTGATTTAATTATATTGTTTTAGAACAGATTTGCAAATAGAATTCAATATTTTTTAAGTATTAAATTTTTTTGATTCTTAAATTTTTTTTTGAAATATGGAAAATTTGAAAATAAAAGGAAAATCGGTTGTATTCATTTTTATCGATGAAAACGACCTTTAGCGAATTCAAGTCTTTCTTTACAGGATTTTAAAGCCAGGGATCTTTGATACCTTCTCCATCTCCTGTTTTCTTGCATTTTTCTGTAAATCTCAGCAGCATCTTTCTCCATGGACCATTCAAAGTTGGTCAAGTGTTCTTTGCTGTTCATCTTTAATGCATACCTTTCGTCGTGGGCAAGTCCGTGTCAACTGTGGTATTTGGTGTGGGGAGAAAGAGAGAGAGAGAGGATAGAAAATATAGTTAAGGCATAGAACTCGATGAGCACAACGACCTTCTCGAGGTCGACATCTTTTGCTTTTACTCGTATGGAAATTTTATGGATTCTATTCAGTCTTCCTATTACAACTTTAAACTCAAAAATACGCGCCCTCTCCACTTGAAAATCTGGTTTCCTTCTCCTAAAGGATTGAATTTATCAAGATTCAAATGTCCAATCCATGCAAAAGTCTTTTTTTTTTATCTATTTATGCTAAGATCCTTTTTTCTTCCTTGGGATATTTCACTTTCATGATTTCAATAAGTAGAATTTTACATGTTTAGACAGATGAAATTATAACTTTATTTTCTAGTTGTAATAATTTTGTTAGAAATTATTCGGGAAAATTGAAAATTGTTTTTCATTTAATTTTTGAAGAAAAAATTATGATAGGAATATAGAAACAGAATTATTGGTTTTTAGTTGTGAATTTTTTCTTTTATTTCGATAATCAGAAGATGAATTTCATTTGACTTGATATTTTTTTCTACTTATTTTTTAGTTAAAAAAAAAATTAACGTTATTAAGAAATTATTGAAAATCTTTATTGTCTCACTTGAGTCAGTTTCTAGCAATTAAATTCTTGAAAGTCTAATAAAAAATTTTATAGATTCGTTTTTTTTTCAAATTTCTCAAAATAAATCATATTCTCGTAAAGAAGTATTTCGCATTCTCTTCATATATGAATTTCTTCACAATTTGCAAATTACAACACATTTTGCTTTCCGCATATTTCTTATAAGCAAACTGAAAACTCGTTAGTCTCGGGGGCATATATAAGAAAAAAAAATGAAATTGCATATTTATTTTTTTCTTTTTTTGTAGGAAAAAAAAATTGATTTTGACGTAATAATGGGCACGTGTCTTTATAGAAAGCAGGTTTTACAAGGTGTTGGATCATTCTCTCTTCTGTGGTTCTAAATAGAATTGAGTATGAATAGGGTGCGGCATATAGGTATATATGATTCAAACCACATGGTTATATTTTGTACACAAAGGTATATGCATAGGAGTTGTAAAAGAAAATCACGAATATTGAATATAAATAAATATACATTCTTTGATTCGATAGAAATTACAATATTTTTGAAAAAAATTCATGTTTTCAGAAGAGGAGTAATATTGAAACGTTTTTTTTTTTTTTGTTTTTATTAGAATTCCGACTAAAAATAATCAATTATCATATAAAACCTTATACAGAATCTAATTAAAACTAATTCAGATTTAATGATGATTTTAAAAAAGGGTCAATAGGTTTTATTATTATTTTTCGCATAAAATTTGAAAATTCATCTTTCAGATGTGCAATAGAAAAGAACGAGGAAAAACTCTTGACAAAATTACATTGTTCTGAGAACGTTAATTTTACAAAATTTATAAATTTTATTAAGTCAAAAATATAAAAAATAGGGTTTTATTTTTTTTGTTTATATATGTAACAGGCATAATGCGTATAGAGCGTAGGTTGTATAAGGTGTTTGTCTGTGGTTCATAAGTTGCGTCACACCTTCATCATATAGAAATTGAAACTATATCTTCTATAAGGTTTTCTCAAACTATCACATATAAAAGTGGTCCATACACTAGGCTTTGTGTGATCCGAGACCGTATAAACGGATCATAGCAAGCGCAATATCTCCGTTAAACCTTACGTAAGGTGATCTGTTTGTCTTGTTCCACCGCGCAACAGGCCAGACATTGCGAATTGCTGCAGAAATGTATTTACTGCGACTCAAGAAAACCGCAAATATATATAGAGAGTGGTTTTTTCTTTTTATAAAATAAATAAGTGTTAATTTCTTTAAAAATTTACTTTTCAATTTTTTCATTCTTAATTTATTATCTGTTAATAGATAGTAGATATTTTCTTTATAAATCCTCACGAAAAGTTTTATTTGAAATTATATATATTTCTTTCTGAAATTTTTTATCTCATCTGGAAGATACAAGTTACTAAACTAGAAAAAATTATTTTATTCAAATAATCGGTTACTTAACGATCCAATATAAAGTATTTACATCATGAACCAAATAATTTTTATTTGAATTAAATAAATTGTATTTGAACCATTAATTTCTTTGAAAAAAAGAATACTATTTATTTGACTTACAGTTGATGCTCATTAGATTTTGCCCACCCTACAGAATTTTGGGCGTTGCAAAAAGTTTTATATATTTTTGTTTCTAATAAAGATAAAATAATAAACAATGACTTTTTTTAAAGCTTATATCCTGTACTTTTAGAATATCTAAAAATTTAATAAAAAATTTTTTTTTTTTTCATTGCTTAATTGCTATTATTAATTAACAAAATTTTCCATTTTTTTTTGTAAATTTTAAACTGATATATTTTTTTTAACAAATCAGGGGTCGTCCATAAATTACGTAAGACTTTCTTCTGGTCATTTGAACCCCCTCCCCCTATGTAAGATTTTTTACATGCATTAGCGCTTTTTTTCCTATTGGTCGTAAGAAATACTTGACCCCCCCCCTCCCCCCTAAAAGTCTTACGTAATTTATGGACGGCCCCTCATCACATTTTATTTTCACGTATATATCATTGGAAAGGTAATTTTATCACCTTTAAAAAGCTTTTTTGAAAATTATTATACCATAATTTTTAACAAAGATTCTACACATAAGAAGGAACATTTTTTTCCTTAACAATTTTTTTCAAAAACCAACAGTTCTCGACTTATTATTAATTTTAAAAAAGGGCGGTTTTTTTTAAACAATTGACCATATCTTTGTTAAAAATTATCGTATAACAATTTTCAAAAAAGCGTTTTAAAGGTGATAAAATTACCTTTCCATTGTTATATGTGAAAATAAAATGTGATGATTTGTTAAAAAAATATATCAGATTAAAATTTACAAAAAAAAATGGAAAATTTTGTTAACTAATAATAGCAATTAAGCAATGAAAAAAAATTTTTTTTTATTAAATTTTTAGATATTCTTAAAGTAGAGGATATAAGATTTAAAAAAAGTCATTGTTTATTATTTTATCTTTATTAGAAACAAAAATATAAAACTTTTTGCAACACCCAAAATTCTGTAGGGTGGGCAAAATCTACTGAGCGGCAGTGTAAATAATTATTTGAAATAAATATTTTTTTGACAATAGTCAAGTAACCGATTATTTGAATAAAATAAATTTTTGTTTCACTGTAAATCAAATAAAATCATTCTCGTCTGCAGGAGAGTGATTAATCGCAATTTTTTTCTTGTTTCTGGTCCATATCTCGCGTTGTTTTATATATATATATATATATATATATATATATATATATATAGTTTGCTACACACTTGGGCGCGCGGATATTGGGCGCAATAAATTTTCAAAGAAAGACGCGCACCCGAGAAGGTATCAAATATAAATCTAGAATTCGATTGGCGCGAATGTATTTTCCAAGTGACTGCCGTTTCCATTATTTTCTCCTTATCCCGTTTGTTTCGTGGCACGTGTTGCAATGCTTTTCCTATATATGTTGGAATATGTATAGTAGCTATATATCTATATACAAAAAAAAAGGCAAGTCTGTTGTAGCTGAAAAGTAAATAAGGTGTGAAATATTGCACCGGTGCCAGTGGGTATAAAAGGGTGGTTGCGATTTCATGGTAGTGAAGGGGGGGGGGTGAGGGGTAGGGTGGTGCGCGAAGTATAGCAGGTAGTATCCATCTCACGAGCTGTCAGAACCACGTGGTTATCAAGTTGGCAGCCCACCCAAGAAATAGATGTAAACCTTCGATACTAGAAACGAAATCACATAAAATATACATTTCGATTACTCAATTACTTGTTCTCCTTATATAGTTTTCTTTAAGTCTCTATCAAAGATTTTTGTTCAATTTATAAAATACGAGAGTAATTTTCTCTCTTTTTGAATAATTTTTAATAAATTTTTGGGAATTTGGTTCAAATTTTGAATAAATATTCTCAAAATTCATTAATCCAAATTAAAAAAAAAAAAATGTTATTAATAAATGAAAATTTTTATTTAGCTGCGAATTTTTAGTTTTT